AGGTCACTTCAAGTGACGCTGGTGACCTGACCTTGAATGACCTTGGTCTGAAATTTTCACCACAGTGTAAGATTGATGTATGATAAGGTGTACCAAAAACGGCGGCGCTCCGCGCCGCCGTTTTTGAGATATTCGCGAAAAACCACAAGGGGGGGTGTTCAAACACCCCCCCCCCCCCAGCAGGGCGCGGGTTTAAAAAGAAACAATGTTCAAAACTTCAGCGACCAAAAATCTTATCACCGACTGAATACGATAAAAAAGAATGGCATGCCTATAGGGGATTGTATCGAGAATATTGCAGCGGTCATGCAAAGTAAACATCCTTGAGGTGATGGACCTATGGGTGGTCTTCAAGGGAGGCACGTGGTGCACCCTACTTCATCGAGCCCGGATAAAACGACACTCTGGTAAATACTCCACACTGGCGACTCACGTGGAGTCGTCGGAAGAGAGGATCACTGACGGTCCAGATCACGTCTTACGAGGACTCTGTCCGTGCTGGTACTGCAGTGAGGACGACATGTTATTGTGTAGGGCACCTCCACCTGAGATGAACCAAAAACTTCTGGTCCTTCAACTCCGCCGATTTAAATCCGACCAAATTCTTTATATGGAGCGTTTTTTGGTAGAAGTTTAATGAACAACTTATCATCAGTAAAAACGGTCTTCAGTGCAAGGTACGAAGCTGATGGGCGATCATGGACAAGCAGGAGGCTGCACGTGCATGCGCGTGCTTTTGGACCCGCCTTGAGAAGGTCATCGACGCGAAGGGCGGTCAAATAGGATGAGGGATAGGTAAAAGGTGACCGATTGATGGGATGTTGTTAAAATAGTGCTTGGAGCTATATTTTTAAATTCATGACCAAATAATCCCGTTTGATATTTATTCCCGATTATGCTGCCCCACCCTGTACTTTCAAGAATGTGAAACTAAAAAGTACGCAACTCTTTAACCCGCGCCCTGCTGGGGGGGGGGGTGTTTGAACACCCCCCCTTGTGGTTTTTCGCGAATATCTCAAAAACGGCGGCGCGGAGCGCCGCCGTTTTTGGTACACCTTATCATACATCAATTCTACACATGTTGTTAAAATTTCAGACCAAGGTCATTCAAGGTCAGGTCACCAGGTCACTTGAAGTGACCTCACCTCATAAAAAGTTTCAATGTCTGTCATAGCTACACCAAGTGACCGATCGCTTTGAAACTTTCAACGATTGATAAGGGTAACAGTATCTATAAAATGTATATCTCTGAATTTTGATATCGGTGACCTAAGGTCAGGTCAATTTTGCGACCTCCCCATTATAAGTCAATGGGAGAAAATTGAAATGCTCCTCTTTTGGACGAAAGACATTATAAACACTCCCAAACACCGAATTACAAGTGGTTTAGACACACAGAACATAAAAATGGTGTCCGTGACCCTTGTTTATGCCCTGAGGTCATCTTAGGTCACGAATGGTATCTAACAGTTTTTCGCAAATAACTTTTGATAGAGGCATGCTAGAGCAATGAAAACGCCTTAGATGTGTTCAGCTCGACGATACGGATCGACTGATATGCAACATGACCCTTTCCGGTCAGGTCATGACCTTGACCTGAGGTCAAATTTTCAAGTTGACCTTTCAAGGTCAAGTTATAGTTCATTCGATGCGTCTTGACGAGAGAAACACGATGCCGGTAAAAGTAAGCTCGTACAAGGCTTGGGTCAAAAGTTATTGCAGAAAAACTGTTTCCGAAAAAATCGGCTATTTTTGCAGTTTTTGCCCCCTGCAGGCAAAACCGTTGACGTTAGGTCAAATCTGAGCGAATTACTCAGAAAGGGCGTTAATAGGGCTATCGAATGCGCTTTTCCGCGGCGCTGTAGCTCTATTGGTTCCCGAGTTATGCGTTGGCTTCTTGGAAATTTTCGACATTCGACCTGGAAATCGGCGAAATTTTGCCTTCAATGACCTCTGGTGACCTGACCTTTGACCTGAGCAAAAAATTGACCGAAGTGATTTCGTCATTATTTTTGACGCTCTTTCGAACGCCGCCTTCCGCGTATCGCTACGTGGCCCAGGAGCCGAGTTACTAGGGGGGGTGTTCAAACACCCCCCCCAGCAGGGCGTGGAAATCCAGGACCCCCAGCCGGGCGCGGGTTAATAGTTCTCCGAAAGTAATTGGCCGTCTTTTTAAATACCGTACCCGCTAAACTTCGGATATTCGTCCAAACAACATTACCCTGCATTCGCTCCAAAATCACCAGTGACTTTACGACATTGCTTGCTTAGCACCAGATGAGAAATGTCTCCGAATCTGCCCCCGAAATATATGACTAATGGTGTGTAACTGCATATGTGACCATTTTTTCCCGTTCGCAGCGTGCCTGTCTGCTGGCGGTGCCCAGTGTCGCGGAATACATTGACGAAGAGTCGGCGAGGAAACTGGTATTTCCCCGGGCTCGGGCGATTTACGAGAAAAACTCGATGGATCTGCCGGTAAGATACAACGCGCCGCTTGGGTAGATGATTTAAATTTGGTCCTGATCCAGTTGAGCAGGTGGCTGTGGGCCCAGTTGTGACACCAATACACTGGAGATGATTTTTTCCATGCTCACTATGCAATTATGCAACGACAGAACGGCAAAGAGCATCGAACGATCTCATACGGATTTGTGTACTGATGGCTGAGCCTGCGTGAACACTTCTGGACTTTCGCTTTGATTCTGGGAATCCTCATTTCAAAACCCTACCGAACCCTTTCAATTCCGTAATTCCCTGTTCCGCTCCGTATTCTGCTTTCTTTGTTCTCTCTTTCTGCATCCCTCGGCAGTAGACCCTCGTCGAGGAGTCACGTGTGTTTCAGCGCTGCCTAAGGTAAAAAACATCCGGCCGAGAGGGACCGTAGAAATCCCGGTCCCAGTCGTCAGACACACGGACATTGATACGGGCGCATCGCTAGTGCGACAGCACGCGCGCAAAAAGAGATAGGACTGTCTGTGCTGTGTCCGAGCGAAACAGAACACGTTTATTAATTTTGGAGGATATGATTGCCCGGACAGTGCACACATAAGAACGCAAATGCCTGTTAACCCGCGAGTTGCTGGGGGGGGGGGCGTTAAAGGGACTGTCCCACCTTAACATTAGAATTGAGTTGAGATAGCCATCTTGATGGGCGTTCTTTGAAAATCAGAGCCGTGAAAACCGTTTCTCCAGCAATTACTTCATCGCAAAGAAATTTGTGTTTGATTTTGACATCTGTGCAAATAAGTGCCACAATGTATTGGTATTGGCACTTAAAACCTGTGACGTTTCCGCCTTTTCCGAAGTTTCTGTATCTGTCGACTTGTTTTTATCGAAACCTTGAAAAATAACAACGCCTCCTTGAACAGCGCCCATTCGTTCCGGGTGGAGAAATAAATTGATATGCCAAACTAATTCTAATAGTCTTCTAATTCTTGTAGTATTTTTATTTTTGTATTTAAATAGTGAAGAGGCCGTCCTAAATGTGACTGAAGAATGCAAGAGCCATGAACTTATCAATGGCAGGTGTCAAGTTCAAGTGTGCAACTCTCTAAAATTAATCATAGTATCAAAATGATAAATGATTTGCTCACTGCTGTTTCAACTTTCAACTCCATAATCAAGACATGCTCTGAGAAGTCCACAATCTATTGATGGTGACAACTAAGGAAGAGACGATGAATGTTCACCTTTTTATTTCTGAGCATCCAAGACGACTAACCTTGAGCCGTTAAACATTGATAATACCCTGTATGCTGAAGTGTGGGTGGCCTGAGGTCGACCATGCCTAGTAAAGAACTGTTGTTTGTGTAAACACCATGCAGAGGTGTTTTGAAATAAATTTTAGTGATGTAATGTATCATTCTTTGAACTGAGTTGCTGATGGCGGATGAAAGCGGAAGTGCTGCATGTGTTTCCTGGGAGCAGATCCAGCTACTAACATGAGCATGGGACTGGGCCTTTGTACCACAGTCGCTGCGCTGCTTGTCAAAACCTAGGTAATGTGCCTTGTTAGGCCATGCTGTGCATTTTTTAAACCTTTAAGAGTAACTACTTTGTGATCATTGACACACATATTGCACCTGACAAACAGCAGCAAAATCACACCCCATCCTTACCTCTGTGCAGTGTCACCCAACAGACAACAGGGCTTCAAAACAGGCAGGTTCCGCATTCAAGTCGCTTCTTGCAACTATTTGACTAATGTTAGGACAATAGACGTGCTGTACAGGGAAGGCGTGTTCTGTGTAGCTCTTGAAAAATGAAGTCATGCCTAAAATTCAGTTTAGAATATTACAGTTACAAATAACTTGGATAAAAGTTGCAAAACATGAACTCTTGACTGGTCAGTTGAAATGTCTTGAGTCAGTGAACCACGCCTGGGCTGGAGGTGGTCAGTTCCCTGACTTGTGCGACCTCGGGCAGGAGCTGTGGTACTTGTACATGGACAAATTGAATAGGCCTAGATCATGTCGTGGCTGCAGTCCAAGACATGTTGACTAGTTGCTGTTGCTGCCGCCGCCTGCTGCTGCCCTGCGTACCGGCTGGCAGCTCACTGCTGGACTGTTTGCGCGCCAGGCATCCTACTGGACGAGTGGGGTCGGGTCGCAGATCTTTGAGAGTGAAACGTTTGGTCTATGTAAATGTAGCTGAAACTCTTACAAATAATCTAATAGAAAGGCAAAATTTCAGAGGACTCCATTGGTGTCTCAGTGGTGACAATCAGAACTTGATCAGAACTGTTATCATGCTGAATGCTGAAACTGAGAATAGGGCTGAGCTGGTGGGCTAGAATTTAATATGCAGGCTTACAAGGACCCCAGTTAATCCACAAATTTGTCAGACTTGCCTGTAGGCAAATTTATGCAGATGAAATGTTTCTGGCAGATAGCCCTGAGGCAAAATGCTATTCAAGCTTGTTCCGCAGCTCGTTGCATTCCACATGAGCCACTAAATCAGAGTCACACAACTCTGCCAAATGTGCTGAAAGGCCACGATTTTTCCAATAGGTAGGTAGGTATATTTATTATTTTTCACAGACACAACAAAAATACAAATGCAGTTCACTACAATTCATTCTGCTTCAATTACAATTGCTGGAATGTGTTTTGCAGACTTATTATATTGAATCTTGAACAGACTATATTATATTACTTTGCTCATGGGCCCAGGCCAGTACTGCAGAGTATGGCTCGCAGGTCGCCAAGGAGCACTGGCCCAACTCCCAAGCTCAAAATTGACACAAACCATTCAAACAGAGCCCGAAAATTCACACCAAAGGGGGCTGAGGCCTGAGAGAACACAAAAAATGCACCAAACCCCAAAATGGCCCCCAAAATGGCCAGTCAAAATCTGCACTGACCTCAAATCCCCACAATGCTACACATCTGCACCACAGCAAGCCAAATTCGCACCCCGCTACACTACATCCACACCACACTAGACCAAATCCGCACCGCACCACACTTAAATCCGCACCAGACGAGGGAGTCCGCACTGACAAAATCTAGACAAAATTGCCCCACTTTGCAGTCTGGCTCATGGCTATATCCATTGTGATTCTTAAGTCTGATTATTGAAGTTGAGCTCACTTCCATCATCCATGTGCCCAAGACATTGTGGGCAGCATCAATAATCAAACATCAATATCTTGCTTTTGCTTATTAGGGAGCATTCTATAACTTTTTAAAAATGATAAATAAGGCCTTGTTGATATTCTTTGCAGTTTGCGACCTTCTTCTGGACAAAGTTCAAGCTTCAATTTTCCAATTTTTATTTCAATCCTTTCCATGAACATTAAACATGTTTACCAATTTCCTGAGTTTATGCGCAATGTTTGTACTATTCGCGGCAGAAGCGTAACAAAACTTTGTGCCACCGATTTGGCAGCTAGGAAAAAAACTTTGCCCGATAAAAAAACAATCATATGACGTAATCGATCCAAAAGCTTTAAATTGGAATTTTTAAACAATTAGCCAACTATGGGCCGAATGTTTGCCAATTTCGTGTAAAGGGGCCCATAATCTATGTCTTGCAACACAAGAACAGTATATCAAAGCAATTTTTTGAAGGTGGGACAGTCCCTTTAAACGCCCCCACTTTTTTCGCCGGGCCATAGCATAAAAACGGCGCGCCGCAGGCGCGCCAAATTTTGGGTACCTGTAGGAAATTGATTGAAGTTTTTTGTGCCAAAGTTTCAAAAAAATCGGTCGGAATTTTTTTGAGATATCGAGGTTTTAGTGACGTCATAATTTCTGAGTTTTCGACCAAAAACGGCATATGTTCAAAAAATCATATAAAATCACAGAACAGACATATAGACATGCCGTAAACGCCATTAGACTGCCAATACCATGAACAATCAAATGGCTATCTCCGATTATTGATTATCGTTCCGCATTTTCCAAAATCTTGAACTGAATCTTGGCAATTTCTCGTGACTACTTCACGACCATGATACATGAATTTCTGAAATTGATCTTTTTGAGCCAACCACGTACACATATGATAAAATGAATGTCTTCATCGTGTTCTACGCTCCAAATTACCCATAAAACATGTGTCACAGGCTGCGAATATCAGTTTTGATTTTCGGGGATATGTGCCTACCCGGTTGACCTGACCTTGACCCTGACCTATGCTTGACTGACCCCTACATGGAGGTGACACTCTTGTAGGCCTTATATGATGGATTGTGCACCGTTTTGACAGAGTTTATGACGAGAGGCGCCCATTGCGAAGCCCTGAAATCCATGCTACTGAAAGCCCGATTTCAGGTGTTTGACCTGACCTTGACCCGACCTGTGACCTCAAAATTCAACTTAAAAGTACTCATCTGAAGCGTCTCGTCGCGCTCTTTCGTTTGCCGCCTCGTGCGTTTCGCTGCGCCTATTGGCTCTCGAGTTATCGACTGGGGGCGTTTAACGCCCCCCCCCCCCCCCCAGCAAACGGTGGGTGGCGAAATACCCCAGCAACTGCCGGGTTAAGAGACAGATCTGTGTCGCCATTTTCCGAAAATGCTCGTAATGCTCACCCGATACCCGATAGCGATGAAGTTGCTCTAAAACTGCAAAGAAGTGAGTATTTTCCAAGCTAGTCATATAACAGCACGGAGCACCAAGTTCTTAAGTCGTGCCTTGGATGTTTTTAAAAGATCAAAGCAAAGATTCATCCTTTAATGTTACATTTTTCTTTCGCAACGTCAACAACAACAAAAAACGGAAATATTCCAAAAGTCGCTTTGTAGCTTCTTAAACCAGACAACGCTTCAACTATCACCAGGTTATTCACTCGAGTAGGGATTGTGCTACAAACGCTGTCCCGTTAGCATCATCAAAGAGCAGTTGACAACAGCCGCTACTTCTCGTGCTCTAGTCATCTCTTTGTAAAGGAAACGCCGTCACCCGAAAGGCTGGATGGTTGTCGCTGAGCGGCTGCTCACCGCTAGCGGCGCTCACCGCCCACCCTCCACTCATCTTTTTACCCCCCCCAAAAAAAAAACCGACCGGTGGTCGCTCATCTCTCACCCACGGGCCTTCACCCACCGCCCACCGCTCACCGCTCACCGCTCGTCTACCGCCCACCACCCACCGCCCTCCATCCACCCTTAACTCACCTCTCACCTTTCACCGCTCACCGACAGACGGGCGACCACCTGTACCTCACTCGACCTCCTGTATCCTGTTACAGCCTTGTTTTGAGGGCCGCGCGCCGCCGCTGCGTGATTAAATTTGCACCGAGCAGGATGTAACTCTCGGTAAACAGAATGGTACGATATTGACAGTTGATAGGCGCCGGCCGCGGTGACCGCACACCGCGCGTTATTGAGCTCAGTACAGTCGGCGAAAAACGGATACGGGAGGATCTGCGTGGCAAGGTGAAATAATAAACATTTCTGTTCTGATATTGTGGTTTATCGGAACTGGTTGCGCTTGCTTGTAGCTGAGTGTTTTATTGTATCCGGCTGGAGCATTGATTAGGTTTTCTGGACAATATCAGTTAGAAGCATATTGTGTTATCGATAAACTTCTGCACACCGGTATGCAAATGTCGGTATGTTATTATGTATAGGGCTTGTCCTTCAGTATCTGCCACACAAACCAGGGATTCTGGTCCTTCCAGGTGACCCTGTACATGCTGTTGGCTCTGGAGAGGATTCTGGACAAGCTTGAGCGGCGCATCATCCTGGACGAGCTGCTGCCACTGCTCTGGGATGTTCGGCTTCAGGACCCGGACATCATTCAGGCAACCGTCAGTGAGTATCCAGATTTAGGGTCTGACCATGGTCACAAACAGCTATAGATACTAGCGTCAGTGTGTATCACGACATCATACACAATAGTCAGTGAGGTAAAGACAATCTATGCTTTGACTTCGTCTTTGCTGCCTTATAGCTATCTTTCCGCATAACAACGTGGGAGTATAAACAATCATTGCTCGAAAATACACTACCATTCAGTCACATCCCCGCCCTGCTCTGCAGACATATACCGGGTGATGCTGACGGACAACAAGAAGTACGGACTGAGTGTGAACCTGATGGCCACGCGGGTGATGCCGTCGCTGCTGCCGCTGACGATGAACGCCGCGCTGCACCTGGACCAGTTCACCAGCCTGCTGGAGGTCCTGCAGGAGATGCTGGACACGATAGACAAGTAAGCTGGCGCTCTGCAGGCCTGGATGTTACAGTTGTGCATGCCTGAAGACACATAAACCACCAAACACGCTTCATACAGCAGCGCGTTGTAAGATCACATCCTCAAATCCACTATCGTATGGAGAGACGGCGTATCGCGAGCCGAGGCCCTGCGGGGGTAGGCTGTACCGCAGGGCACTGCTGTAATGCGGCTCAGCCTACCGCCGCGCCGCTCCTCGGCATTTTCTTCACCGCGGTTGTCTTTTCTTTCAACAGCATAACATCGCGCGATAGCCAGCTGTAAGAAACAGGGCTAATAGGTAATTTGTTACACCTAAGTAGTATCTTACATAACCGACCTCTAATCTAAATAAACAAAGGTCTATGATTAAAGCTGTGCATCAATTGCCACTCAGAAACATTTCATGTCACTCATCTATCAGGAGCTATTTGCTCTTATTCGGAAACGAACTTCTTGTATAAGCCCTCATCTCTAACCTGACATTCCCATCTCTATCTTCCTCACGTATTCTTTTTGCTCTCCTGTTCATTTCAGTAACTTTCCACCTCTATCACCTACTGTTCTTTGCATTTTGCCACCTCTTTTCCTCTTCATTGATTTGCAAAGTGAGCCATGTTATGCAGTCGGATCTCTAAAGCGCCTTCCTCTCATTAACCCTCGCCCGTAAACGGCGATCTGCCACCTTCGCCCATGCAGGGGGGGGGGGGGTTGGTGCGACCCCCCCTTGGCGTTTGAAAACAGAGCGTCGTAGAGCTTAGCGGAAAAGACCAACGGATTGCTCTCGCCAAGATCTCGCGATTGGTGGTATATTTTTTGGTCCTAGGTCAACATTTGACCTACTTTTGACCGGTCAAAGGTCAAATTTTCGGAAAAATAGACTTTTTCAACTTTCCGCGGCGATTGCGGCAAAACGTTGGGAGATATCGACTTGAAACTTTCACTATCGTGTTCCTTGATCCATTCTCTATCGTTTGGTATGTATTTCGTTTCCCTAGCTCTAAAAATGGCGCGTTGGGAGCGCCGGAAGTCGGCAAGGTCACAGTCGGCGGCAGAAATTCGAAAAATCAAAATTTAAATTTTTGAAATCTGATTGTATTTTTGGATTTGGGAGGTCCATTTGCTCCCTATAGTAGCTAATATTGTTGCATATTCCCATTGAGGTGACAAGAATTAGCAAAATAGTGGTTCGGGCGCTTTTCAAAAATAGTACCGGACGCTGTTCCTCTTGTGACGTCATAGCTCCGTGACCTGACCTGACCCGGTCAAGTTTCTTATACCATATGATAGCCAATACTTGCCCTAACATGCATGGGAAGTATCATCACGATCCATCAACCGATGTCCGTACCACCGGCAGGAAGCCTCGGGCGTTGGCACTCAGTTTGTGAAAATCCGGCCGGAGGCTGTTCCCTTTGTGACGTCATAACTCCGTGACTTGACATGACCCGGTCAAATTTTTTTTATCAAAAGATGCGCAAGGCTTGCCCCATAAGGTACCCAAAATTTGGCGGCGCTGCGCGCCGCCGTTTGTGCACTATTTCCGAAAAGCCTCAGGAGGGGGTTGCACCAACCCCCCCCTACATGGGCGAGGGTTAAAACGGTAGGGGTGCAGTGCTCTCTTGGTTTCTTTGGGCATTGAGGAGGCGCAAAGGCAATGATGGTCGGCAATAGGTAATCCTTCGGCGTGAGCCGGATAACACTCGTGAGCTCCCTGGCGAAGTCAGAATAACTCCAGTTTCCACGGGGAAACATAACCGTTCGCTTGAGCCTGAAACATACGTTTTTGAAAAGACGCTTGAATGCTCCAAATGTTTCTAACTATAAAGGGATAAAAGCATGCCTTCATTGTCCACTAAGTGGCTTGAATGTGTCATTTACTACGCCTGTGCACCTATTATTTATCCAGTCCTTTTGGGTCCATCGATACGATGCTGTCACGGACTCTAATAGGCACGTGCTGGGGTGGTTTAGTGCGCGAACATTGTTTGTCTTTGGCGCCATTTTAGAAGATATTTGGTAGTTCATCATTTTGAGATTGACACTGGGTGACACGGTGTGTTATATTTTGGTCTTAATGGCTGTCTATTTTGGGGAACGTGCCAATGATATTAGAAGTTTGTGAAACTTGTCGGTAGGTCCGGCAGCGGCGCTAATCTACGGTCTCCGGCCGCGCCAGCCGCCGCCAGTCGATGCGGCAGACCCGGTCTAAATCCGCTGCCAGGCTGTCTTTAATCAAGCGGCCGACAGACAAATGGAAAACATGTTTAAAACACCAAACAATACATTACCTGCCGGGAAGATTACTAGGCAATCTCGATTAAAACTCAGATTCTGCCTGACTTTAGAATGGGACGGAGGAAAGCTTAATGTTGAAAGACCTTTATGTCAAGTTGAAAGACTGGATCACATCACGGTATGTGGGACAAGGGGAGCTAAGCCCTTGCAGTATAGGTTACCAATAATCTATTTATGTGTTTTCGTCGTATTCCCCCCCCCCTCTCTCTCTCTCTCTCTCTCTCTCTCTCTCTCAAAACTTGCCATTTATGTCATTTCACTTACACTCGCCCGTCAGGAGGGGTCAAAGTAATAAGCATCTACATAATCCCAGCCTCCCTATAATACGGTGGCCCACCTGTAGCGCCCCGATGTCTGCGGTCTGCTGCGGCCGTGCAGTGTGTCGTCACAGGCCAATCATCGATCACGATCGGACCACCAGTAGCGATCGGCCGACCGCGCCGCGGCTGGTCCCGTTTCGCCGACATTGCGTGCCACCGTGCGGCGCCTTCGAGAAAAACACCCCGGCCCCGATCTGTCCCGGATCATCAGCGAACATGTCCCCCGACATATTTACTACGGCGATGAGCGACTGTCACAGGACACAAGCTTATCCGCCGCGACGCCATTCCTTACATCAACATGGTGCCTGATTCAGATAAGGCTTCCTCTTTCTCTCACTAGCGGTGCCTAAGTATAAGGTCACTTGTGTGGCATTCCACACAAAGCATTTTTCCAAGCATCTTACAAAACTAAGCATCTCCAAACTAAAAATCAGAGTACCCAAGCACCGGCCACATTTCACTTGATCTAGCCAGGCGGCGAGGCTTTCGACTCAGTCCGTTTCCACCATTTCGGCGCCGGCTGGTCCGTCAGACAGCCCCGTGTCCCACTGAGGGCGGTCTGTGCCGCCTGCCGCCATTGGCAGCGCCGGTCGGGGGTGCTCCGTGGGTCGTCCATTAGAGTTTAACGAGACAGGCGTGCCGCGCCACAGGCGTCCCGGCGTGACACCGGAGACGGCCCAAACGGGGGGCCAGACTGCTGCCGAGGGACAGTGGCAGAGTGCATTGGTAGGGGCGATTCAGTTGTGAGGTAGCGGACGGACAGTTGTTAGCTGCAAACATCTTTGAAGAGTTTCTGATGATCGTGCGACGCCAGACAAAACGCATTTCTGTTCCACCAGATACATTTCATTTCGCTTATGTCATATCTGATCACCCCAACGCACGTGAAAACATATGCACAAGAAAGGGAGAGGGAAATGACGTATAGAAAGTGAGAAAGAAGGATAGGGGGTGAGCGTTCTACATCTGTATCTGTGAAGTTATTCCTATCTATCCATTTCAGTTATTCTATGTAAATACTCGTAAAATGACCGGCTCTGATTCAGCATTTCATCATTTTGAGACGCCATTTAAAGTCATCTTCAGACAGAGATCACAATGAATTGATTAATGCAGCAGCCATCTTGGAGTTGAAATTGAGATGGGCTGCAACATTTTTTTTTTGTGAATTGTAAAATGATATAAAATGACAAGGCATAGTAAGGAAAAGCAATTAGCAGACACAATGAGCTAGATGTTGCCAATTAAAGCAAGTTGAGAGCCCTTTGTAACATCGTTTGCATATTTAGGGTAGCTGTTGACTACATTATCTCCGAAAGGTTTCATCGCAGAACGAGAAAAAGAGTCACTGAATTTGAGAGTGCAATCGTATAACTGAAAGCTGTAGGTATACTTTAGTAATTGCAAAGGTCATTCTGTCCATTGCTTTTAATAAAATGAGATAAATAGCGCAACTAAATGAAAATTATTATATTACAGCCTTCCTGCAACCTACTCTACAGCGACATATATTTCACCTGAATCTTTTTTTTCTATTCAAGATGTATAATGTATAAAACTCCCGCATTACATCACAAACAAATCACTCCAGCCGACATCACTACACATGCCTGATGGCAATATTTGACGACTTTTATCATTCAGGCATCATGCATCTCACATATCTGCCCTTCTCTTCCCGCCAGGAACCAGCGGAACAAGCTGAAGCTGGACGACCTGGTGCTCAACTCTCCGGACCACCGTCGCACACCGGCGTTCCGACACCACACCTCGTCGGACAACATGGCGGCCGTGACTACATCGGGTACGCCCAGCTTCCATATTCCCAACCTGCGCGTCGAGTTCCGGCGCAAGACCAACAGCGCCGAAGACTTCAGCCGCAAGAGCAGCGGCTCCGCGGGCTCTTGTGAGTGACGGCCCGACGCCGGTCAATGGGCCCGCCGCGGCCGGCGATAAACCCACTGAGGCTGCCACGGTGAGGCTGCGAACGCATTGCGACACATCCTGAACAGCTGCATAGGTTTTCGCCATTTGCGTCGCAGTTGTTCATGGCTCGTCTGCGAGGTGTGAAGGTCACGCCACGCCCCCGGGCATCATCTGCATGATGCAAGTGACAGGGTGGTGCCATCCATTTCATAAGTGCGCGCCGTGTTGTGTTGCACCTCGTGCCGGAACATCTGACAGGCGGCACCCCACCTGCCGTGACAGGTGACAGTCAGCCGCCCGCCGATCCGTAAAGGCCGACCACATTAGCGCGAGTAAAACAAAAAATCCTTTGGAAGCGCAAATATGAAAACAATTGATTTCGCTCTGTTTAGCCTCCGTCAGTCCTGATAAGACAAGAATAATTTTTAAGCAAAATTTAAGATCTCGTGATTCTCCGTTAAATATCAATTACATCTCTCTTGTTCAGTGAAAAAAGTCCAGATCTGTTGAAGGGGATAGTTAACCCTCGCCCTGGCAGGGGGGTCGATGCGACCCCCCCCCTAAGGTTTTTCGAAGATAGCGTAAAAACGGCGGCGCGCAGCGCCGCCAAATTTGGCACAGCCTATGGGGCAACCTTTTTACATATGACCTAAAAATTTCAGGTCCGAGTGACCTTAGGTCAGGTCACCAGGTCAGAAAAACCGGTACAAGGTCATGGTCAAATTTCAATTTTCTTTTTGCACCTGTCCAACTCACAGTTTTGCACTGATTTCCTTCAAACTTTCAGGATGTGCTAAGTTCACCGAGTTGTATAACATATAGTTCGGGTTTTTTGAGGTCACTGACCTGAGGTCAGTTAGAGGTCATGACGTCGTAATGTTAAGCCTATGGGAAAATACTAAATTCGGAAAATACTGGAGATATCCGCTTCGTTTTATCACTTTTGTGCTTTGAAACCACAGTACTTAACAGCAGGTCACTTGGTGCTTCTTTGTTTGGTGTACTTATCCATGGGTCAGGTCAAATGAGGTCAACTGAGGTCAAATGACGTTTTTGCCAATAACTTGGCATATAATGACGCTAGAGCTTCAAAAATGGTATCATTGTGTTTCTGGTGATCAGCCAAATCGAACGATATGCGATATGATGCAATTTGGTCAACTTTAACTTAATTTATTAATTTAAGTTTACTTAAAATTTAAGAAAAACTTTAAGTACACTTAAGCAAGCTAAAAAGTATATCATTCGACGCGCCTTGACGTGCTGAGTTCACTGGTGCTTTTCTTTTTGTTCTATCTTAATTAGATCAAAAGTTATAAGCGAAAAACTTTTGACCTGTTTTTAGCGAAATTTTTACATTTATACCCCCAAAACCCCCCTAAATATTGACCTAGAGCAACCAAATTTGCACAGGGGCGAGAACTCCAGGGGGCCAACCTACCTACCAAATTTGGTGTTTCTAGGTGCCATAGGAGCCAATCGCGAGGGGGGTCGCATCGACCCCCCCTGCCAGGCCGTGTTATGAAAAATGCCCTGCCAGGGCGAGGGTTAACATAGGTATCCAGGAATGGTCGATATATTTTTCTGGCACGTAAGCCGGGTCGGAAGTCGTTTGAAACGCTACAGCTCGTCAAGTTATCCAACATGTCCCCGATTTCCATAATGGTTAGGATCTACCCGGACGGTCAACTCCAAAAGCCCTTGCAACTTCCGCTGAGTGAACTGTTAAGCTATTAAGTTAGCCGTTGAGTGTGCTGCGTTTGACGCTTCTGCCTCTCATAACGTCGTTGGAGTTTAGAGCGGCACTCGAGACGGGGAATATCAGACATCGGCGCAGTGGCAGTCAGGTGATCAATCTTCATAGAGGCGCAATAGCTAAGTGACAATCTTTAGACTGTATAGATATGGGTGACGATACTAGCGCGGTGACAGTTCGGTAGCGGGAGAATCTGGGCTGGAGATATGACAGTTTTGCAACAGTGTAAGGGAAGAAAGGACGAGACTTTCAAATAACAGACCCAATCCACTTGTAAGGCAGCATATACCTTCAATGTTTAGTTCATACTAAGGGCAGTGGCTGCATGTGATCGCAATTCACTTGTACATAAGTCAGCCACACTTGCACACAGTTGAGCGCATATGGGATTTCCCTGTGTCTGTCGTGTCCCGCTAAGTGCGTACGCTCTGCACGGTTTTATGATGTGATCCACAGGTAAGTGGAAGTACAGTGCTCCTGCTCTTCTCAGAATTGCAGCCAGCTTTGCAAAGTCGCCGCGGCACGCCAACGACCCCCGGGTCGAACTTTGGTTCCAGAGCGCTGAAATGTGTGCGTCTGTGAGATGAAAAGTTGGTGCGCCAGCCCGAGCCTCCTCCGGATGTCTCCCTTTGGGGACAGAGGATAGGTCCGAACAATCTCCACTCTCAGAGGACGGATTCAACTCGTAATTCCGCCGCCGGCTGCCGCTGCAAGTTTCAATTTAGCTGGTATCTGGTTGATCCTCGGTTACATCCCCGTCTGCTATTTGCAGCGCAGTAAACACATAAAGAGCGCTGCTTCTTCATCGCCTTCGAATCAGAGATAGCCACGTCAGGAGCGATTTATATGCAAGTGAATCAAGGGACTGAAATACCAAAACAAGGACGGGAAAATACGATTTTTGGTCGAATGAAAATCTAAAAAGAAAAAGTACCTATTTTTGCTTTCATGGCAAATATGTGTCCAAAGATAGCATGTAACAAATTTGGCAAAGGAAACAAATAACTTACAAGCAACTATAATGCATGTGTTTCTTGTTCACGCTCCCTCTCTCTCTTCCCTCTCCCCTCTGCCCCCTCCGTGCCTCTGCCGGCGTTCCGCGGCCGATTACTGGCCGGCCAGCTCATTACTCGCCCTATGATGACGCGCCGGCCCGGTTTAGACCCCCCCCCCCCCGTGGACGGTCCGTGTGCTCATATCACGGCCGGTGAGCACACATGTGCACCGTGAAATGGGACTCACGACCGCGCCCGGCACCGCCCGGCTGGCCTCCGCCACGGCCCCCTAACCCTCCCCCACTGCCTCTGGCAAGCTGAGGTTAAAACGGGTTCACCATGGTCTGAGACTGACAGGTGACGTTACAGGTGATTTGACCGAGCTGCATTAACTAGCTTTTAGTAACGTTTTGAATGGTTAGTTAGTGTTTTTATGAATATTGTCTGGATAGTTTCCGCCCTTAATTCTGTACGTATGGTGTGTTTTAAGTTCGTTTTTTTTTTTAGCCGACAACGAGTATTATGCTTGTCGACTGAACGTATCTGTATTTTTGTTTGATGGTAAAATGTTAAGTGCGAAATGGCAGCGAATACTGTTCACATAACCTGTAACGTTGCTCCCCCAAAGAGTTTTGCAGGCTGCCGGTTGGTAGTGTGCAAAATCCAGCACCCCACCCATCACCCCGTAGCCATGCAGCCGTCCCGCGCTGGTCCCTGACCGCGCGCCGGCCGCCCCGTCAGGCCCGTCGTCACCGGACAGCAACCTGTTGCGCGTCCACTCGGCAATGATCGGCCGCCGACTGTCCGACAACGAACTGCTCAACCCGCCCAAGATCCGCGTCGGCTCCTACTCGTGCGGCTCTTCGGCCAGCGATCTGCGTGTCGGTGTGCTGCCCATCCGGAGACATTCGTCCACGGGGCCGAACGAGAGGCGCCAGTCCGTCTTCAGTATCTCGCCGCCCACGGTAAGTGATTTGGAGGGCGACTGTGGCACCGGTCTGAGAGCAGCTGTCTGATTACTCCGTGGGCTGGTGGATGTGATTGGGGCGAGGGCGGTTCATTGTTGTGAGCACATCCATACATCCTCGTGTTGCGACTAACTGTGGGTGTGGGTGGGCTGAGGTGGAAGCGCCGGGGCGAGCGGCGCCTCGCCTGCACGGCTGCATCTCGGCTCTGAAAGCGCCGCCGGCACCGTGCCATCGATCGTCGCAGTGCGCCGAGCCGGCCGCTGATTGCGCGTCGTGTATTTCTGTCAGCCGGCCGGCCAAGCCGCGCCGGATTTGTCCCCGAGGCACGTCACATCAGCGCCCGAGCGCCGACCATACCACATCCGCCGGCGAGCGGCGTTCGTAAAAACGCCGCCAGCCGCGCCGCGCGGCCTCTTATAGCTCTGTAACAGGCAGATATGACGTCACGCTGACGTGGGTGAAAGGCAAGGCTTTCCCTGAGGCGGCTCCGACGGCCGCTGCTGTAAGCCCGAGTGGAGAGTCGTCCACTCGACTCGCGGCCGACTGATCCCCGGCTAGAAACACCCTTTATCACGAGTCCCCTCGGAATGTAAATACCCCACAAAATAGACATAACATTATGCGGTCGGATAAACAATCATCATATTTATCTGCCTCAAAGCACACAAATGTAATCGCGGTATCCGATAACATAGGCTACTATATTTCGCCAGCAAGGCTTAACCCATAGGCTGGTCGATGCATTCGGGCAAATATCTCATTCATCACTGGTCCGCGAATCCTCTCCGCAAATCAAGTGCGCGAAATCATCGACTTTTGTGTCATGTTTCCGCCTTGTCCCTGGCGTCTGTGCAAAACTGCCATCATATAATCCACTGGGACAGAAGTGACGTTTATAACGCCTCATCTGACCGGCCCCGGCCGGCCCTAACGCCACTGGGGCCGACGTGAGGCGCCGCGGGAGCAGATAAGGTCGCCAGCAGCCGACGGGAGGACTCAATCTGGCGGTGGGCGGCGTGATTGCCGGCCGCGCCAGCTCTTTGGGCTGTCGCAGCTTCGTGCCAGCCCCATTACTGGCGCGGCACAGCTGCCGAAAGCATCGGCTGTCCGGTGCAGGCCTCGGGCCGGGCCTCAGACTGGGCGGGCCGGGATTGAGCCAGCCGTGGCCGCCACCCTTAGAATGTCCAGGGCTCTTACAAGCACAGGCCATAGCTGTAGCCGTTGTCTTGGCTTCAGAATCAGACCCGGTTCTGTCACAGTCCGGGGTCCAGTTTCAGTCTAATCTCCTCTTCGATCTGTCTCAGACCCAGCCCAGCGCCAGAAATGGTGAACAGAGCCCTCCGATATCGGTTACCGGACCTGCTTCCCTGTCGGTACCGCCCTGTAAGATACGCGTCAGGTTCGTTTGTTGACCGAGGTGCTCGGGCAGCCTCCGGTGGGTATTTAGCGCCGCTGGACTGGCACCGAGGAGTGTATCGAGCGGCCGGGTCAGCGCGCCCGATCGATTGTCCAGGGGTGTGCCCTGCCTGCAGCCGGCCGGAGAGGGGCGCCGGCCAGGTCACGGCCGGTCGGCCGCACCAGCCCGGCCGCACGCAGATCGATGCCGTCCCAGCTCGCTCAGGTGGAGCCGGTCGGCCGGCGGCGCTCGAGCGGCGCGCGTGCACGGCCCGAACAGAGCGGCGCAGCGCACGGCGCACGGCGCACGGCTCGGGCTGCAGCGCAAGGTGCGTGCGCGTGCGCGGCGCACGGCCCCATTAGTGTCGACTACTGGCTGAAATCGGTTCGGATCGACCGGTTGGCGCCGGCCGGCTACCGGAAGGGCTCACTTCCGGCGGCGCCACGTGGGCGGGGCCAGCAACAGGTGGGGTTCGGGGACAGAGAGCCGACGACGGAGCCGACGACCAGCCCGGCCGATCCGCGGCTCCGGGCGGAGGGTGCTGGGTGTTCCGCGGACACACAGGTCACGGGGCGGCTCTTGGAGCCTCTCTCTGTCGGCATGACACGACCGGACCTTGAATGGCGCGGAATAGAAACAAGTTGGAGCCCTAGAAAATGCATTTGAGTCAAAACTCATTATCTTTTTGAAGTAGGGAAATCCTTATCAATTCAAAGGCAAACATTGCGCTATGAAACATTTTCGAATAAAACTGAGCCTTGAAGAATCATTGGTATTTCTATAAGTAGACACAAGGGATATAAAGCTTTGCTTATTGCTAACACGCTAACAGCATATCCACCTTTGCTAATGTCAACTTATTGTCACAGCTCAGCCAGCGTTATGCCCTGGTGAGTTAGTGCTGCTGAAATCGTAGCACATGTTTCTATTTTATCACTTCTACTCTTTATTCCTCTTTTACATATTCCACACAACGTATGGCATTGCTAGCTAAAATCATGCGTACATTTTTTCCCCATTGCATTTGGGAATTGGTAGTCTCTCTAGCTATTACAAATCATAGTCTCTTACTTCTTAGCGTTTTTTTTTTTTTAGGCATGGGCATGATTGAAAAAGTTGTGGAACAAACCATGACTGATGACTCTAAGTTCCAAAGCTTGATACCTATCAAACCAATGCGAATGTGAATCATGAAAATATATTTTGAAGAAAAAAATACAATGAAGAAAATGTAACTAGCTGCTTTATTAGTTGTTCAGTGTGTTAACTTGGGTGGCTAGTTAAAGTCAGACGTTTTTGGTGCATCATCAAAAAGTCAATTTTGCCGCATGAATTTGTGCTAATATAGTCAGGAACAGTAAAGTAAATTTTCTATGTAGGACGTAGGGACTTCCTATTTCAACTACGAGAGAATACAACTTGGAGACATGTCTTTCATGTTTTTTATTTTATGGTAAATAGGTGCAACTGAACATATACAACTTTACAGATACGCATGAGTTCTCTCAAATGTATGACATATGGCTGCTTATCTTAACCCTCGCATGTGTAGGGGGGGTCGGATGGACCCCCCCATGGTTTTTCGCGAATAACTCGCGTAAAAAGGGGCCGATCGCGACGAAACTTTCAGTACACTCGCAATGATCAATTTGACACCTACCCTGAAAATTTCATGACCCTGACCCAAATGACCTTTGACCTGTGACCTCTTTTCCGAGACCATGTTTGGCCGGAATCGCGATTCGGCGTACGTCGGCTCGCATTAGCCGCGCGTTTGCAAGCTTTTCGTGGTTTCAAACGTTCAAACATGTGATTTGATGTTGCTCCCATGCATTAGGGTGGGTGTCAAGGTCACCTGAAGGTCAGGTCAGGTCATTGACCTTTGGTGACCTCGGGTGACCTCGGTTCACTTTTTCGAGTTTTACATGCTTCTAGGCTAGTTTTTGGAGCTGAATTCGAATTTAGCAACCATTTGAACATTTACGAAGTAGTTTTGGTGCCTTCGTAACATGTTACGAAGCTGTCGGAGGCGGTTGACACGTACTACGAATACCCGTCACGACGCCTACTGATTGAACTGACCTGACCTGACCCTACCTGGTCTAAATGCTTAAAGACATCATCTGTGATCAAAACTAACACGATTTTCGTGATCAGCACCCCGAAAAACCCCTTAGCAGCCACACTTTACGACTTTCTAATAGGTCCCGATTTTCCCGACTTTGGGTCATTGACCTGACCTGGAAGGTCAACCAATGACCTAGGACCTTAAAATTGGGTATCATCGGCTTCCTCTCGTCACGGGCAACACGCTCGTTTTTTTCAGCGAAGCTCTAGCTCGATCAGGGGCCAAACGGCAAGGGGGGGGGTCCAACCGACCCCCCCCCCCTACACATTAGAAGCTGGAAAACGCCGCACACATGCGAGGGTTAAAAGGCATGTATTATTTTCATAATTCATAATCAATGCTTGCACAATTTGCAATGTAGTTGCATGATAAACAATTTATTTACACACAAAACTTTTGTGTATTTAAGCCAAAACTCATCCCAGAAAATTTGCCACATTCTTTGGTCTTTGGTGGACTAAAACAAGAACATTTTACTTGCGTAAAATTTTCATCTACACATAATTTTTACGAGCACTCGAAAGAATAAGCTATAGATTGTCACGCTGTATACCATTCTAAATGCTGATCTATATTTCAAATTCAATGTCTTGAATGGCTATGCTAGATCATCATGAACACAGATGCACAATCAGTATTGGAGTGCTTTTACCTGTTCATCTGTCCAGTTTCCTTGCGTCCTCTTACACATCCTCTTACACTCACCTGACTGGAGCCGTAAATGGGCGTTTGTGGCTACCTGGATAATTATAAACAATAAACAAATAAACATTTTTTTACTTTCACAAATTCTTCCCTCCATTTTTTATCCTCTTCCCTCCAATTTTTCGCCACACATCTAGTCCTTTTAAGTTTTAACGTCCCTCGTCGCCCCTCTCGGAAAAGCCCCTCCCATGTGCCTCTCTCCCGGAGGAGTCTGCTGACCTCGCCCCACTGTCCGCAGTGCGGCTCGATGCCCAACACCAGTCTGTCAGTGCCGCCCAGTGCCGGCGCCGGTCTCCGCCGCCAGTCAGCCTGCGGCGGGGGCCTGGCCGGCTCCTTCAAACAGCGCCGCAGCTCCTACGTGCCGCCCGGCGCCGGGCTCACGGGCGGCGGCGGCGGCGGGGGCGGCCTGCTGCACCAGCTCAGTGCGGGCATGGTGAGTCCCGCGTCGGCGCCGGCGCAGTCTCCGGCCTCTCCACGCAGGCCTTCCCAGCGAGGTGGGTGCCGTCCCCCCCCCCCGACCGCTCCGTCCGCATGCTGTCGCTTTTGTCCGTGGCCGATTCACGCTTGCTCAACTGTATGCTGCTGAAGTGGTTGGATTCGTGAACAGCCTGAGCAGGGGCTGCTGGCTGACAGCATCACACACCTGTTTTGTCGGCTTGCCTGGCGCAATGGCGGCGGCTGGGCTTGTTTGGCTGACCCGCAATGTTTATGAACTTTGGGCATCAGCAACAGGCCGGTGAAACCCTTGATATTTGTGGTACTTAATTGGGTTGGCTGCTGGTGGTGTAGTATTGCTTCAGTGATGTATTTTTGAAAGCAGTTTTTTTTTTTTTTGCTGTCACGTCTGCTTTGAATGCTTATTATTGCCTACCTTCATGAGTGCAGCATTAAAAGTAGAGATCTGCGTAAATGAAGCAGACATGCACAAAACCTAAATATGAAAGCACGCTTGCATATTACTTATAAAAGAAGCACGATGTACTGAGAGTTTATTTGGAATCTCATTTCCATTGTGTCAAAGCCTTACGAAAGGCTTGACACAAACGTGTTGCCTTGTTCGCCTTCGAATAACAAAAAGTGGCGAGAAAACTGCCATTTTTCCAGAAGTTGTAAACATCCAATTTACTACTTCATATCTCAGGTGCTCTTATTAACTTTCCAAAATCTAGTTTTCACTCAATTAGCATAGTAATAGCGAAGGCTGTTTTAATTTAACCCATGTTCACTAGCAGTAGTCTAAATATGCATGCAGTTACTGAATGCCAGTCTTACCGTTAGGTGTCACGCTGGTTGAGAAAACGACTTTTTAAATTGTCTCATTTTTACTGATGAGCATTTTGATAGTGCTTGCCATTATGCCATCACAGTGATCAAACAATTCCGTAATTTGAATTCAAAAATATTGCAATGGTAATAATAATTAGTAAATCGTTTGTTTGCATTTCGGAGACAACAATATTCAGAGCAGATGCGCAGGTCTTGACGTCTGCATCCGATTGGGAAATTCAATGCGGCTATCGGGAGAATTCATAAGCCAAAATGAGCCATGCCAACATAATCATTTTTTCACCCGAGCTTCAGCTTTTCGGTGCCTTCAAAGGTAGGGTTGCGATATTGACCATCTTCTGCACCTGTTTCAGTACCAACTATTCAACGGCAAGTGATGGACTGATGTCCGCGTCCATTTTCCGCCTCCGGCCTTCGCTGGCCGTCAGGATGATGAAGACGAATCCAAACCAACGGCTACAGCACCACGAGAACTCGGCGACAATAGCTGGGGTTGGGTGGTCGGCGGTGACAGCGAGCAGATGTATATCGGTGACCGAGGTCAGGCGACCTCTCGGGGTGACAGCTGAACCCCTGCAGCGGTGAGAACCATCAATATCGATAACCGTCGTGAGGAACGTGACGGGATGTAGCTGTGAAAGTGATGGAGCGCATGATGGTTGACCGAGACAACTCTTATCAGGATGATGGCGCCAACAAGAGTTGCTTATATGCCGACCTTCTTATCGTACTTAAATGGTATCCAACTGAGGCCATCCCATTCATCCACGATTATAAATCATATATGTGATAATGTAACGCGCGACCCTGCGATAGACATAGGCAACCCTTCCGCAGCCGAGCAGATACGGCATTGAGGCAGCCGATTGAGCCGATATAATATATCCTGGCCCCTTACTGTGAGCAGTACGACTGTGATCAGCCAGGATAGGACGAATCAAACCGAATCCAGTCTGCGATGTGGCTGAACTAACTATCGCATGCGTCATCGGATCAAGCGCTTGGTGGAAAACGATGGTGTGACGAATCGGCCGAGACCCTGTACCAGAATCGAATGGTGTCTATCGAAACCACGTTCAATGTCCCAGTTAGAGTGCTAGCGAGCATGTGTGGGTGTTTGTGTTTGGCGTGGGAGTGTGCGTATGGGAACAGCCGCTCTCGTTTGTGTGATTTGACGATAGCGTTTCTGTGCTGAAAATGAAATCAGTGTCTCGAACTGATGCATTGGTGTCCGTATATGTGTGGAATAGAACGTTTGTGCTCAGAGTAAAACGATACGAAACTGACCCTTGAAATGATTAGATACTAGCAGATGGGGAACCCTGCCTGTGATTTTTGTGCAAACTGTCGCGATCTGCGTCGGAAAATCCCACTCTGCCGCTGGCCAATCGAGGAGACTGCGGTCAACGCACGGTGTTGTGTCTCATCTGTCCACTAATGTTACCGATGATTGTCTATCGGCGCTGCTCTATACTGCTCTCGGAAATCTGGCACCGCCAGAGTTTGTGATAGCTCTCTCTGCTAACTGTGCCCCGGAATGGAGCCCACACTCCGCGTGAGCTGTCCACTGTCGGTCTGTGACGAGCTGATGACCCGGCTAAATATGGCCGTCGGATGGTCACCCCCTCGGGTGGGAAATGCGCGAGAAATGTTACTCTGTCCGTTGTTGGTGTTACGCGCCGAGGATGGCTTTGGATGTGATCATGTAAACCGTCTGCTTAGAGTGGTGTCTTCACGTACCATCGACTGGTGTGTCCCGCTGTACATAGACCATGTGTAAGAGCGAGGACAATTTTCTGTCCTACATTTATCATGTAAATAAATGATTCAAATATATAAAGCATGAATAGTGTAAAAGTTTTGTTCGAATATGCGGTCTAGGTGCATTCCTTACATTGCCCATTTTGCTAGCATGTGCTCTGAAACATCATCACGACAAGGGAGCAAATAGACGAGTGAAGAATCCATTATCAAATTACGAAATATGACAGTCTCGCTGTGCGGCGAACCTGCACTATGGTAGACTGTGCCGTCGTACAGTCGTGTGATGCGGGACAGCCTACAATCCAGTAACCGCAGACCGCAGCGCTGCTCGCCATTAGGCCGTAGCAAAAGTAGAAAACTTTCTTTCGCACCCTGACACCAAAAACGACCGGAGTAAACGCATGTGCATTGATCCGGTTTTTACCTCTTACTTTTTTGTTTTTCTTTGCTTATTGACCCTTAGTTTTCATTTTAATAGCTTTGCTAGATCTTTCGACGACCCACCTTTTTGTATACAGGCTTAGGTGTGAGGTGGTGGGGAAGGAGGTAGAAATGCCCCTTAGTCTCTCGTGGTCGAGTTTACCCCACAGTTCCGGCCGGGTAAAGACGCTGTTTGTGGTTGGCGTAAACACAGTCGGTTGCTCCCAATCACCCGCAATAAGTCACACTGGAGCGCCGCGGGACTCGAAACGAAGCACCCTCCTATCCTCAGCGCAGGCTGGCGTGCTAGCTTGCGAACAAACAAATTAATTACCGACCGGTCAACTCGGCACGGCGGCCGGTGGTCTACGTGGCAACATTGACCAGCAGGCGTGGGTGAGCAACTGCAGGCCAGTGACGTCATTTTCTGCCCCGGGAGCTTGGTGAGACTGGACGAGTGGGTACACATTCGCATAAACTCTATGACACATAAAGGAAACCATCAAAATCTATTATTTACTTTCTTTTTCCACGAATGGTGCCTTCAACCCTTTGGCGTTTAATTCTTCAGCAATAATAATTCACTTTGACAGGTAAAAGCTCACTCCTAAATTTATCTATCTTTCGAATTAGAGCAGAGTGGGGGCAATGTACGGAAGACGAAAGCGACATTGTGCATACAGATAAGAGCAAGTCAATGCATTTGGCATGCACCTACCTACATTACATGCACCTCTCTGCATGTAAATGGTCGGCATTACATAATTGTAAATTCGCGCTCACATGGTGCGACCCACTTTGCTTGACGAGGGCAGTTGACATGTAATACGACTGCTGCCAGGCAGCAGATCATCCCGTTATGAGGGAAGAGCGAACGCGGAAGCGGGCCGACCTGGGACCTCAATACCACACCGTTCTACTCTGCAGTCGGCTGCACCTGAGAGGAGATGTCCGTGTACCTACTATCAGTTGCCGAGAAACGATATGTAACAACGCTTTCAGGTAGTAGTTCTTTGATATGAATGCATCGAGGATGCTAGCATGGTATGATGGGGTAATAAATAATTACTTAGTAATTAAATACAAAATTACACTAGATATTTTTAGCTGAATGAGTAGACGTCAGACGACGACTTATAGACCACTATGATGCCGTATGGGCAGTTGCGCTGGTGCTCAATGCCGTATTTGGTGGTGATGCTATACGAAGAAATACACTTACGGAAAGGCCCTATTGACTTTCACCTCTTCGGTGCCGTAGCATTTATGGAAGTGAATAACCTACTGCATGAAGGACTAGAATCAGACGTTCATACATATTGAGTGGTGGCGGTTATGGTGTAAAACCATAACTGAAGCAAATCAATAAATATTGTAACCTAGGGGAAGTTGGGGGAACGCCGAATACTTTTTTTCTGACGCCCGTAGCACGCAAGGTAGACAACATAAGCTATTCTTGTTGGCGTCATTCGAGAGGCCAGTCTTTTGCCTTTCAAACATACCAGGCGCATTTGATGAATTCGCATACCGTTAAGCGCACAAACTAAAAATATCAAAGAAGAGATTTTTTCGGCGTTGCCCCGGACTGCGGGGAAAGCCGAAAATGGGAGAAATGATCTACGGGGAATGCCGACATTGATGTTTTGCCACTTTATCTCAAACTTTATCCAGAATTTATCAAAGCTGACACGCGTTTTAAGAGCTTGAGGGCGCTTGGTGCACACTGGAAGTTATAATTGTGTGATATAATAAGAAAATGCCAGGTAAATAATTCCTTATAGGTAACCCGCGCCCTGGTGGGGGGGGGCTATTTTTTGCCCCCCCCCCCTCCAGACTTTTCGATATATCTCCAGAACCGCTGCGCCGATCGTAACCAAACTTTCAGTACCCTCCCGGACATCAATTTTACATATGGTGACCAAAAATTTTTCCAAGGGCTATGATAGGTTGGCCGGAAATGACGTCAGAGTGACGTCATGTTCTGCCGTTTTCGACCCAAAAAAGGGTTTCGCGGGAAGAGCTGTCAGGCCTATAGCTTTGCAAATACAGAAAAATGATAAGGACATAAAAGCTGTAGAATTGACAGGGCTACAAAACTGCTATCTCGGATTTTCGAAATTTTTGGATTTTGACCCCCAAAAATCAAAAAACAATTTTTTTGGATATAATGATCGAAAAATCCAAAAAGTTTTTTGAATTTCGCAAAAACCGGAATATATGTGATAGTCCTTACCGCATTCCATCCACATACCAAATTTGAGATTGATACCTCTTTTTTTGGCGAAGTTATAGTGAAAAAACTGTTCAAAATTGATGACGTCAAATTTTCAAACTCAATTTTTAGCAATTCTAGACCCCGTAGCTCAAAACAAAGACCACCATTAGACTCCCCGTGACGAGCTGCATCGAATCAATACCCATTTTATGCAAAACTATCAACTTTAAAATTTGACCTTTTTTGGCCTGACCTTGACCTGACCTTGACCTAAACTTCACCAGAAAGTGACCTAAGCCGTACCTGATAGTCTTATAACCAACACCATTGAGTTGGAAATGAAAAATTGGCCATAAAACATGCATCACACAACCTTAGTAAAGTTGGGCTCATGTGACCTGACCTGTGACCCTTGGTGACCTGACCTGTGACGTGACCTGGTACTGTCAGTGACCTCTAATAGCAACATATCTACTAGGCAACTGACGCCCTATCGCTGATTCTCGACAAAATGCGTTTTCCTCGGTGTTATAGCGCATTCCTTAGAAGACCCGTGAACGGTGAAACATTTCATCTTTGACCTGACCTGTGACGTCATCGGTGACCCCGAGGTCAATGAAATTTGGTTTCCTTCGACAAATTTGACAGGCCTTTCGAACGCCGTTTGAATTTTGCGGATCCGTCCAGTAGTTTCGGAGATACGAGGGGGGGGGCAAAAAATAGCCCCCCCCCCACCAGGTCGCGTTATAAACAGACCCCACCAGGGCGCGGGGTAACAGGCCGTTGTGTCGGTTGAAAGTGTAATTTGTGTGACTAAAAATTCGCGTTGCTATTCTACAGCAGTAAAGTCCACGTAGCGTGCTTTAACGTGCGTAATTGCACGTTTTCGGCATTACCCCAGCCAGCCATACTTTCATTTGCAGGCCCATAACTTTTCAACGTGCCGTATAAATTTCAAATAGGCAGCACACTTATGCAAAGACATGCTGAAGATTACTTGACCGAATTGGCCAGACAAACGGTAGGATAATGAGTAAGAAATGCAGCTTCAAAGGCGCATGTAGTACAAGGAACGCGTACCTTGAAAACGCTCTTGGCGCCCTCACAGCCGAAGTATTCCGAATGACGACTCGTAACAAACATGCGATAATTGTAGTCACTTAAGCTTCAGAGCATCACTGACAGGTGGCATCCATGTCTTACGGTTTTCGAAATATCTCGAATTTGGCTTTGCCCCAACTCCGGCATTGCCCCAACTTCCCCTACGCTATACAGGCGCCGCCGTCCCCAGTCAGACAATCAGCGCTGGATATTGAGAGAAGCGATTTATACACAGCTGCGTTCTGAATAAGCGTCATTGGTCGTATAAACTTAACCCGCGCCCCGTTGGGCTCTGCCGAGCAACGCGCCCTGTTGGGGGGGGGGGGCATTTTGCCCCCCCCCCCCTAAGATCTCGAGAACCACGCAACCTAGCGACAAGCGGCAAACGGTGTTGGATAGCCCTATCAGGGAACTACCTTGTGACCCAATTTTATTGACCTAGGCCAAACCGATGACGTCACAGGTCAGGTCAAAGGTCCAATTTTCACCGTTTACAGGCATTTCAAGAAATGCGTTGTAAAATCGAGTAAAATGCATTTAATTGAAAATCATCGATGGGGAAATGTTCTTCAAACACATATTTTGCTATTTGAGGTCACTGATACTAGGTCAGGTCACAGAGGTCAGGTCACGGGGGGGGGGGTCACAATATGAAAGTGTCGTGTGATACATGTTTTATGGTCCATATTACATGACCAATGCGATTATGTGGGTCAGGCAGCCTTTGGGGCCAGCTTACGTCACGTTTTGGTCAAGGTCAGGTCAAGGTCAGGTCAAGGTCAGGTCAAATTAGGTCAAATTTCAAAGTTAATATTTTTGCATAAAATGGGTATCGAATCGATGCAGCTCGTCACGGGGAGTTCAATGGTGGTCTTTGTTTTGCCGTACGTGGTCTAGAATCGCTAAAAATTGAGTTAAAAAATTTGACGTCATCATTTTTGAACAGCTTTTTCGCTATAACTTGGCCAAAAACGAGATATCGATCTGAAATTTGGTATGTATATAGAAGAGCGCAGCGACTATCATATATATTCCGGTTTTCTCGAAATTCGGATTTTTTTTTCAAAAAAAAACAATTTTTGATTTTTTGGGTCAAAAACCCAAAATGTTGAACTTCCGAGATAGCAGTTTTGTAGCGCCGCTTTTTGTCTACTAGGCCATATAAAGAACTTTGAAATTGCTTGATAACTGTAGATTTGGTGAGCGTTTCAAGATTGCATGTTTTTTGCTCATTTTTGCTCGAACATGACCTCAGTTTGACCTCAATAACTCCTGACTTAAGGTGACCTAAGACTTGAAATTTGGTGTGAAGGTGTCAAATTGATGCCCGGGAAGGTACTAAAAATTTGGCGGCGCTGCGCGCCGCCGTTTTCTTGCTATTCAGGAAAAACCACAGGGGGGGGGCAAAATGCCCCCCCAACGGGGCGAGGGTTAATAATGGAAGAGCAAATTCTTCGAAAGACCACATCTATTCGGATATTGAGTTACTACGAAAATAAGAACGGGCTGTGTCAGAATGTAGGGACTCAAATCTGGCATCACGCGGCTAGACTGCGGATATCCATAACGAAAAACTGCATGAATGTAGAACTATAACTACACACAAAACGCAATATCTAAATTTCTTCATAAAAAGTTGAATTCACTAGCTCGGCGCACAAACATCCGCTCACACCGATGGTGGCACACAAAGGGAAATCATCAGAGACGGCTGAAGCTCCGCCACCATCGCCGCCATCAGAGCCGGACAATTTTGGAGTCGGCAATCGAATTCCAGCGGCATTCCGGCGCGACGGAGCCGGAATGAGCGCTTCGAGAGCGGCGGCCGTCAATAGGACGGCGGCTGCCTTTGATCCTGCCGCTGCGCCGGAAATGTGGGCCGCTCCTCGACCGTCCGCGGCGCCTGCAGCACCCCGGGAAGGGGCTGTCGCCGCCACCCGGCCACCACTGCGGCCACGCAGCTGGAGGTGACGACGAGTGGCCGCGCTGCGCGTATGTATGGTGGTGAATGGTGATGGCTGGTGCTTGGCACGAGCCGGCTATTCTGGTGCACTGGTGCTTGCAAATGGCATCACTATGTGGGTATACTGCTGATAAATTGCTGCTCAGTACCTACCCAAACCGCAAGGCAAAGGAAGTGCTGCTTTAAAGTTTCTGTTGTGTGACTAAACGACGATATAAGCACGGAGAGTTGCGACAAAAATTTACTCAGTCCGGCATCGCGCGGCACAGCACAGATAACGTATATCCTGTTTACAAGAAGCTTTTGCTTGTAAAAGTTGTAAAGTTAGATTTTTTCCTAAACGAAAATTTCCTAATTTTACATCAAATAAAATTGATTTCAATAACAGACATTCGATGAACAATAACAACCTGTAAAAAATAAAAAATAAAAATACATCCCAGAAAGGCAAAAGTATTGCAATTACTCGACATAGTCAAAAGTTGGCTTCTTTCATTCATCCGCCAAACTTCAATCCATTATGATAACCCATTATAATCCATTAATCTCAGATGTGTAAGCTATTATACCTTCGAAGAACAGCGGCTTACAATGGGATTCGTAATTGCCACTGAATCACAACAAATGCATACGCTAATTCCGGACTTGTAACCGTAGGCTAGTGTTCAATAAATAGAGACACTATTTAGTAAAGTTTTGTTTTGCTATTGAAAACAAACCTGAGCTCCAGAACAATTCTGCAGATCAGTAGTCGAGAAGCGAGTCACGGCCGTCCGTTTGGTGTTGAGTTCTTTGATGTCAACTGTTCCTATTCTGTGTGGATTAGCTCGGCTACTTTCGAGAAGTAGGTGCCCACTTCAGTCGATTAGCTCCAAATACTCCAGCGAAAAGAGAAGATTTCCTTTAACATCTTACATCACATCTTTGGACCCCAGTGGCCTATCAGGAGAAAGGAGCTTTGCTTGCTTCTTGAAGCCATAGCTTCAAAGAGACGGCTTGAGGCCACTCTAGTGAAGTTCACTTTTCTTTTTGATGCAAGGGTGAACGCTCGACCGTTGCTATGATCCCGGCAGATCTCGGGGCAAAATGGAAGAGCTTCATTTATCAGATCAATTGTCTCAAAATCATGCACATTGCGCATGTCTTGTCTCGAACACAACATATGTTGTCAATGTGTTAGCGGGCTGCTAGAGCTGAGATCCAGCTCAGCTCAGCTCAGCTCAGCTTCTCTAAACGACGACGGCGACCTCTACATCATCCAACGCACGAAAAGTAGTGAACACTGCAATGTAGGTGGCAGCATAATCCAGCCATTTCTCCGACTGAGTGACTCTCCGTGACCAAAAACTTGGCGAGCATTACAGCGCCCCTCAATCGCTGCTGAGTGCTGAATAACTCCCATACCCTAGCGCAGTCCTCTACCACTGTACCCTAGCCCCTGTCCTCTGACCTTTGTTTATTACCACGATCCTTGCCACTGTCCCCCATTCCCTGCCCCCTACCTGTGTACCTGCCCCCTACTTGTAGTTCCTTTGACTGTACCTCGATCATACCACCGTATCTCACCCCGTACCAGCCCCCACCACTGTACCCCGGCCCCTGCCACTGTACCATGCGGCTTGCAGCCCCTACCATTGTTGACATGCCCTTATCCCTGTACCCCGGGCCCTGGCACCTACACCACTGTACCCCAAACCTTGCCAATGTACCACAGTCCCTTACCACAGTACCCCAGCCCCTTATACTGTACCCCAGTCCCTCACAGCCCTCCGTACCACACCCCGCCTCCGGCGCTGTCGAGGTCGACCCCGGGGCTGACTCAGAGCACATTACACATTACACAGGTGTTTGGTGCCGGCGGCCCCCATCACGGCCCGGACCGCCTGTCACTCCATCTCGGCCGCCGGTCGATGGCGCACGATCGCTCGCTCGCTCGCTCGCTCGTTCGCGCAGAGTCGCGTCATAGCACGTGCACGGTGTGTCGGTACCGACTCTGAGGTGGGTGACGCGGCCCGACGCGCAGACAAACACACAAACACAGTGCGAGAGAGGCGGCGGTCAGCCGACGGGCGAGGTCGGACTGAGTGGTGCCCGGAGACGCGGCGGGAGCAGAGGTGAGACGGGAGAGCTGGGTGAGTCGGGAGAGTAGAGAGGTGAGTCGGGAGAGTAGAGAGGCGAGTCGAGAGAGCTGAGAGGAGTCAGGAAAGCAGAGAGCCGCCAGAGGTGAGTTGGGAGAGTCGGGGGAGCTGTGGGCTGAGACGCGGCCAGAGTAGAGGTGAATCGGGTGTGCACGGAAGAGCAGGAACGGGAGGGCGCATGTGAGAAAATTGGAATGTGAGTTGAGTCATCTGAATCCCGAAGGATCGGATAGTTGGAGTTGCACATATTTTTAATGGGTTTAGCTATGAAAGTGAGTTTGAAGTGACTTAAGACTTCAATCAGTAACAAGATTCCTTAGCTAAATGCACGGCTGCATGTATGGTATATGTATGTCGCCTACCGTTGAAATTCGATGTCCCTACCTGGAAGGGCGCGGAGGATTGTTCCGCTTCACAGCTGCAGAATCAGCAGACATACTGAGTCAGTCACACTTGCCTTGACGTGGATATATGTGTGCTTTCAGGGACCCGAAGACTCGGTCTGTCTTTGCACCAGATACCGTCAGACATGGATACGTGTTCGCTTGTCTCTATTGATGACGCACGCGAACATATCTGATCCTCGAATTACGTCCGCTTCTGTCTCAGCGCCGCTCTGATTGCCACTTCTGAAGACGAGGTGCTTCTGGTGCTGTATTTCCGTGAAGACAAGCAATTACGTCTAGTCAGAGCTAGAAGAAACGTTTTTCCTTGACTGCATGTGTGAGATCAACTGTGAGAACTTAGTAAATCAGCTTTGAAGCGAAGAGCAACAAAGAACCAACGGTCACTTTAATCAGGGTGGACAAAAGTCGTAACATCTCAACATATCACTCCTCTTTACGACATAGGGGACAATACGCAATACATTCAGGCGACGCTCAGTGAAAGAGTTTCAGGAAGAACTGAGTGGAGTCGAGCATGTGTCTTGGCCAGTGAGCGGACACCAAATTCTCGACATGGCCGCGGACGCGCAGTCCCCGCAGAATCAGCTGGAGCAGTTGTTTCTGGCGTGCGACACGGACGGGACCGGCTACATCGGTCGCCAGCAGCTGCGGGACCTCTGCCGCGGGTTCGACATCTCCGGCGACGACTCGGACCTCATCTTCGCCGACCTGGACCGCGACGGCGACGAGCGCATCAGCTTCGCCGACTTCTGTCGCGGTTTCCGAGACTGCGTCAACAGCGACTTCGCCCAGGTCAGCTGCCGGTCTGCATCAGTGGACCAGGAGGAGCAGAAGCCGGCCGCCGAGACCCGCAGCGGCGCAGACAGGAGGACAGAGAAGCGCGAGCACGGCAAGAAGCCCAAGAAGAGGGGCCTGCGCCGGCGGGACAGCATGCACCACGCGTTCAAACAGTTCTCGAAGACTCTTGGAGAGGAGAACGTGCTTCACTTCATTGGCAACAGGTGGGTGCTACTGGTGGCGGGTACCACGCATAATGTGCATTGGATAATTAATACCGTAAAGTGGGGCTATTTGAGACAGTGGGGCTATTTGAGACAGCAAGGCAATGGTATAGTAAAATCGCTGTAAAATGAAAACCGTTTGATGTTTTTTCGTCATTTTTGCTTAGGCTGATGTGGAATTGAACAATGAATGCTCTGAATAACCTTTTTGAAAATTTCGAAAAGTTCTGAAAGAAATTTGCAATAAAATACGACATACAGAAAAACGCACAATTTAAGTTGCTCGAAAAGGACCCCTACCTGCAACTTAAAAAAGATGAAGTTTTAACAGCTTCGCCACTGTATCTATCGCTACTACCTTTTTGCTTATAGGTTAAGCACATTTTTCATGAAAATATTATATATTGTTAACGGTACTGCCGATTGCGTAACCCATTGTCTCAGAATCCCGATGATGCCCACCTGGTCAAAGCTCAACGGATATGCCAAATAGCTGATGATAACGGTGATGCGATGCACCCGAGAAGACTTGCCGCCATCTACCTGAAGTGCATCGACCGTTCGACATGAGCAACACCGGTGAATCGGTCGTGGTCATAAACGTGCAGTGGGTTCATGGTAGGTAATTTAAGCAGCAAGCAATATTTACATGTTCGTAGTGTAACATAATAACCCTTTAGCTGGTGACCAAACTAATTATTCTGATGAATATGTGCTTAAAATGTGCTTCATCAGTCACTGACTCATTCGACAATCAACATATGTCTACCTTGGTTGACCAAAAAACACCATCGAATGTTACTTAACACATGAACGTACTGTTAGGTGAGCCTATCCAAGTACTTGATGTGGTAGGGTAACCGGCCAATCGATACGGCATGCAGCGATCGAGGAAAATCGGCATAAAATCAAAACCGTTTAACATTTTTCTGTCATTTCTTCACATGGAGATGTACAATGGAACAAACAATCATGCAGACCATTCACTCAAATGTTTTGGGAAACCTTTTGCCTTGTTTGATTCATTACAGTGTGCTTCATAAGGTAGCGAGACTGTCTCAAATAGCCCCACCGACTTTCGGTATACCTGTTTTCACGTCACCGGGGCTATATACAAAAACTTACTTTCAAAATTTTACTGTCGATGACTTTCAAATGGTCCTTGATGATCATCCCGTCAGTTTGAAAGCTATGGGTCACACCATATTATGATAGCCTTAGCATATAGTGATGCAATTTTATACCCTACCGAAATGAAGTGTCCTACGAAAAAGGAAAAGATTGAATATAAAAGTCATATAACAGTCTTTGAAAAAACAATTTATGCCAAAATGATCAAAATTCAATTTCCAATTGCATGGCGTTTAAAAAATTATCTCTAGCGTGACCGATTTTCTTTAATTTCCTTGCAACTAAAACTGTCTCAAATAGCCCCACCCTATGGGGCTATTTGAGACAGGCTTTAACATAAAAAATAACCTCAGTCATTGTTACTAGCTGAACCAAAATACACCTATATGAAAGAGCTCACAGAGAACTACATTTTTGCAATTTACATGCTATAAGAAATATGAGCCGTCTTAAAGGGAGAGGCAAAAAACTGTAAAATCCGTTTCAAATAGCCCCACTTTACGGTACCATTATGCCCTAAGAAAGAGCCCTATTTCACCCACCGAAAGCCTAGAACTAATGTAAGATACCTAATGATACCAGAAATATTCTAAAACTTTTCTTCTTTGACAGATTATGATCAGACACCGTTTTGTTTTAACACGTTCCATAAAAATCGTAAGTCTCGGGTCTATATGTAGGAGCATGTATTTCCACGCTGTTGTGCCCAACTATGATGCTTATACGGAGATGACGCGAACCCTGTCTGCAAATATGATTGTATTTTTGCAATAGTTTTAGCATCGATGTCTAATTACGCACCATATAATTTTATATGATCTCTTTATGTTCTTACATTACAAAAGAACCAAGCAAACGTGCTGGCATAAGTACCTACAAACCAATATTTCACTCAGCGCGGTCACTGTGCGTTTCTCAGTTATTTTTACGAACCATATCATTACATTGCATAATCATAGTTCGATGGACTCCTGCAGCTGAGGCTTACAGGAAACCACAATAAGGGCGCCAATGGCGGAACAAATAAGAGTGCAAGTTTACCTATTTGCCTACTGCGCTGACAGTTGGTTTACCGAGTACGTGGATGAAAACTTTTCCAATAAACGATGTCAGGTTCATTTGACACAAAAATGACACACACGGCAGGTATGTGTATTGTGTAATCTGCAGCATAGGCGACAAGAATAGGTATGGAGGAGATAAAATACACACTGAGTGAGCTAAAGCAGAGGTATTGAGTCAAATGATTATGTACCTAATGCCTATCTCAAAAGGTCACCACCATCACCATCAGTCTTGCGTTCCGGTTTAAAACAAACTGTTTCCGGTGCTACCCAAGTGTGAAATCCATGACGTAACTCCCGTTACCATGGCCTGTGGTCCTGATGTGACGCCTGGTGCCCTGTTCAGCAGCCAAGAGAAGATCCATCAGCTGTACCAGGAGCTCTCCATTTCCGACACGGATCCGCAGATCAGGGTGCAGGTCGAGAGCGTCCTCAGCTCGCTGCTTGGCGAGGTCAGGCAGCTTCAAGATGAAAACAAACACATGGAGAAGCTCTACATACGGTAAGGACGGATCAGAGCTGTTATAGTATGCCCTCGTCGGTGATCACGCTGCTTATACGGTGATCAATAGCTTGTCGAGATGCATGCCAGTCGCTGACCCGCTACGTGATTATGTGATTCCACGATCACATCGTCAATGCAGTGTACGGTGAGCTAGATAATTAGAAATCAGTGGTATACGTGAACACTACACAGCGTGTAGCCGATTGTCAGAAACAGATAAGGGGTGGGCGATGCAGGCGCTACCCTCAACGCGGAACCCAGCGAGTGAAACTGGGCTGTGACCTTGGGCACGTGCAGCTGACTGAAAGCGAGTCCGGCATTGAAAACAGCGACCTTGCCCACATGACCGCGTAGTGATCAGCTCAGTGTCATGGCTAGCTTCGCAATAAATCTGAGTTGGTAAAAGCTCCTGATAGCATGAAAAGATGTCACTGAGCTATCGGTATGACAGCATTTATCGCAGGAATCCTGAATCTAGGTTAGCCAATATCTGTTATTCATTCCTACATCTGAATGACGTCACCAATACCTGACGTCAAGTCTCCGCCCTGATGACGTCACGAGGCTGTCCTGCCACCAGCGACTGACATGGTGCACCTGCTGCAGGCGATTCATCGCCCCCACAAATTTACCGACCTTGCATGAACTACAGATCGACTCCGCCTTGGCAACCCAGCCGACACCGCACACGTAATCAGGCGGACATCAGTCTGTCTTCCCCATGCTTACAACCAACTGTTTCCTTTAAAAGACCGCCTCCACTCCTTTGGCAGAGCAAAGGCACACAAGTCTCTCCTGAGGTCGACTTTGATGACCGTTCTGTTTTGTCCATAGTGAGAAAGAGACCTGCATATAAGTCTCGGCTGAAGTTTAATTTGACGTCCGCTCTATCCCCAGTGAGAAGGAGGCCCAGGAGACCCGGCTGAGGTCTAATTTGATGTCCTGGCTTCTAACAAACCTATATCATGTCCTCAGTGAGAAGGAGGCCCACGAGACCCGTCTGCGGTCGATGGAGGACGAGCTGGAGGCGCAGGTGGCACGCGTGGACCTGCAGGCGCGCCGGGAGGCCGAGCAGCAGAAGGAGCAGGAGATCAAAGAGGTGGAGCGGAAGATGAAGGAGGAGATCGCCGAGCTGCAGACACACCTCAGAATGTTCCAGAAGGTGAGATTGCTGGTGGAGGGAAGGGGGGATGCCACCACTGAACAGCGTAATGGATGTTTGTGATAACGCTTTTACTGAATGAAAATGTTTGGTATTATTTATGCATTTTAATTTCATCGAGTTGTTCGCCGTTCAAAGAAAGTAGATGCAAAGCTTTTCATAAGATTTATTGCGACTTATATCAAGGATGAACTATGAAGAACGGCTTATTCATTCAGTGGCTTTAACAGAGCGGCATACAACTGTACAAATATTTAGCGGAGTGTCACTCAAGGTCAGGACTCCATCACGGCGTAGGTAAGTAGCGCACCGGCCCATGGCGGCCTCCTACCGCACTTGTCTCTCCCCGTGGCTCGGTGTGTCGAGTTCCAACAGTCAAGGTCATCTCGGCTGGCCACCAGCACTCACCGGCTGTGGCCCCAAACACAAGTGTCAGCCGCTGTCAATAACGTGCGACCCGCTCGCCGAGCCGTGTGATAGAGCCGAGACAGCGCGAACTACATAAAAGGGACGGGGGTGTAAAGGGCTGAACATAAAACACAATGATACATTTTGAAATATGGATCGAAAATGTTTGGGAAGGCCGTATGCTAAAAAAAGGTATTGACAAAAGTGACATTTGAGCGTAAGATTTTATATTAATGGGAAATACTCTGGACCGCTTACATTAATGTACACCATTTGATATTGGTAGAACGAAGCTTGAAGCCGCATGCCTAGCTCACCTGTGGTTCTGCAACCCATAGGTGGACAGTTGGCTTCAAAAAGACACCAACAAGCCCGGAAGCGACGAAACTCTCAGGAAACTGGAAGAGGCGTCCAGCGAAAACCGAGGGCTAAAGGTGAGAAAAAGTAATGAGTAATGACGCATGCATGCTGCACAATGCACATTGATAAGTGAGCATATAACACAAGTGGCGAATGGAGTTGGTAAGAGTAGAGTTCTACAAAAACACAATAATTTTCATGTCAATGTGCATGTATGATCCCAGGCGATTCACCGACATGCGTGGTTTATTTTTGCTATAAGGTGCTTGACGATTTCCGCCACTTCATTTATGTATCGGATGACAATGCCCACCACTCTGTCGGCGGCAGATGAACCTGACCGAAACAGAGACCAGCATAGCACTGATGCGTGCTGATATGGCTCAGATTAGGGCGCAGTATGAAGAGAAGTGTCGTGAACTGCACAAGTAAGTACTTGATATTATGGGTAAAGCCGCCTTGGTACAGTTTATTGCTCGAACATCTCTTTGTTTTAGAAAATGCATAGCATGCTGTTTTACGTAAGGAGTTTTTTCTTCATAATCATAAATAAAACTGCGCATTATAAGAGCAATATTGATATCCTCTAAAATCAAACGTTTAGTTGGTGTAGGTATTGATTTGTTTTCGTAATTAGGCCCGAATAATTAAGATTGCAAGTTTACTCGCACATAGTTTACGTGACAACATTCGTTCGATTGCAAGATTCGCAGTTGTTGTCATGTTTCAGCGAGCGTCAACAGATGGAGGAATATATTGCAAGGCAAGATCAGATACAGCGACAACTTCAGGTGCTACAGTGAGTGGATACGTTTAATTTGAAAAATTGTGCTCTGGGATCCAATTGATAGGGAGTGAGCGACATTCTCATTAGAGTCTAATAATTGTCGCACGTTCATCAATTAAATAATGTTATTTGGCTTGGAAATAATGAACAAATATATCACCGAGCTTAATGTGAAAGAGGACGTTTGTGGCCATTTAGTATTCTTGGAGCCGAAGATCATACCACCAATTGTGTAGCCCAATAAAAAGGGAAACTAACAGGCTGCGATGAGAAACATTCGGGATAGCTTATCTGACAGCTGAGACCTTAGAGGGCTCGAACATTTATCGCGAACAATCTCGCTTTACCTCCGAAATAGAAATCCCTCGCCGTTCCTCTCAGTCCCCTTTCAGACTCACCCTCCCCTCTCATGTCGATCAGGGAGGCGAACCGGCGCATCCAGGACACCAACGACAGCCTACGGCAGACGCTGCAGGACAGCGGCCGGCTGCGGCGACGGCACCAGCAGAGGCCTGCCAGTCAGATGAGCTCCACACTCGGCGACGAGCTGGACAGCCTCTGGGATGGGGAGAGCGTGCGTTCACAGGGCTCTGGCCGCCGCCCGCTGCTCGAGGACGTGCAGTACGGCATCCCGCGGCTGATGCATGATCTAGGTGAGAGGGCCAGCGATGAAAGAGTGTACTATCTGAGGACTGAGATGGATGATATTGCACAGTTGGGGGTCTTTCTGTGTGAACGAATGGCACTGTGCCTAAAGAAAAAAAACATGAGAAAAATGAAGAGTATGAGACAGCTTTCCTTGCTTCCCGATTTCGCTCTTCAAACTTGTCATGACCTCATTTCAATGTCAATATTAGCCTTCTAATAAAAATGCGACTGAGTTCATAGGTTGTCGTTCATCCAGCTAGCACGATACCCATTCCTCTACTCTCCATTTCCTCTCGCGCTTGTCAGACGGGAGCCTGAAGGACCCGGACGACATGGACAGTGGCCTGGACCGGTCCGTGCGGGACGAGACCGAGTCGTGTCCGGGCCGCTCCGTCCGAGAGGAGCTGGACGACCTCGAGGCGCAGCAGGACAACGGCATCGACGAGTGTTTCCTGGTGAGAGAGAGAGAGAGAGAGAGAGAGAGAGAGAGAGAGAGAGAGAGAGAGAGAGAGAGAGAGAGAGAGAGAGAGAGAGAGAGAGAGAGACCGCCGATCGACGCATGGACGGTACTTACATAGAACCGGCCAGTGTGCGGCTGTTTATCGATTTTCGGTGTCCAGATGTAGCTATTCTTGGAGCCAGACTATTGTGTTTTCCATGGAAGTCGGAGGGTGATTTGATAGATGCTAATGTAGGGTGAGTTAATCATGCAATTATTCGCGGAAGTTAGACATAAGCACTGCTGAAAGAGCGACACCTGTGACCTGATTTGCCTTTGTTCATGCATGTGATCTTACAAACGCTTGAGCACTGAAAAGTTCGACGCATATTCGAATCCTGTTATTCATATTCAAATTCTATGAATATTAATACGCGTTTCATAGAAATTTAAAAAGGCTACGCAGTATCACAAGTTTCAGAATCACACGCCTCCTCCCCTCTCCCCAGAGTACCGAGGACCAGTACCTGGAGAAGTGCCCGTCTCCGCGTCCCTCCCCGCGCCCCTCCCCGCGGCTGTCTCAGCGGGGGGCGTCTCCGCGGGTACTGAGGCGGCAGCTCCCCGCCAGTACCGGTACACCAGGCGGTACCGGTACCGCGCCCATGTCGGCGGCTCTGTATGAGCCCACCGGGCCCCCGGACCGCACCTATAAGGTAGTGTTTGCCGGCGACGCTGCCGTCGGAAAGTCAACCTTCATCACCCGCATCTGCAAGGGCGTCTTCGTCACCGACATCAGCTCCACGCTGGGTGAGTGGGGAGGCGGAGGGAGGATATTCTTCACTGCGGAATTAGCTTTGCAAGTAGGGAATTGATTTACTAAGAATAAGTGATTGAGGTATGCTTATCGGTATTGATATAGTGAAAGGATACGGTAACCTGCCAAGATACGATAACCATAGCTGATTGCATCCAAATCGCATCAGTTTATAGTAATATTGATGAAATACAGTGATATCCTTTGACAATGTGCTGGAAGGTGGTTTGCCGTTTAGTTGTGTTTGATGTTTTGTTATTCTATCTATTTTCAGGAGTGGATTTTCAGGTGAAAACGCTCTGCGTAGACGAAAAGAACGTTGCAGTACAACTTTGGGACACAGCTGGTAAGTCTGATCTTTCTAAATATGCTCTTTAGCCTAGTCTTTAACTCATTTACAAGAATCAAAAAACATCGTTCCAATTCGTAATATGACTCGAACTGAGTAGTTATTTTCATTGCTTCAGGTCAGGAGCGGTTCCGCTCCATCACTAAGTCGTACTTCCGGAGGGCCGATGGCGTCATGCTATTGTATGACGTCACCAGCGAGAGGTCCTTCCTCAGCGTGCGCCAATGGGTGCAGAGCATTGACGTAAGTTACTCGGCTGCGGTCCGGTTCAATGGCGTCATTATTGGTAGACCGTAACCGTACGAGTACGTGAGCTAGTTGTGGGATCGATCGAACACTATAATGTTTCAGTATACTGAAAGCTGTGTAATGGTCCTTATTTTCCCGCTAACGCTTGGCTCATTTGATTTCTTTGGGTGTATGAGACACCAAGTAGCGATTCTCTTTCGCTATTTACATTAAATCTTTAATCACACTACGAACCACCACTACCTGTCACTTGTCACTCCGTTTTCACCTATTTCTTTGTCCCCATTCCCCCAGTACCCGCCTGGCTTCTCTCCGTCCTATTGTTGTCTGTGACAGTGTGTCTCTGCTCCGCCGTCTGGCGCGGCTCGGCCGGTCGACGGCGCCGGGGTGCAGCTGCGCTCCGGCCACCTGTGCCGTGCCTATACGCACCCAGCGGGTCAGACCGGCACACGGCTCCGGGCGCCGTGTGCGTCACACTATACGGGGTCAGAGGCAATGATCAGACGGGGTCAGATGCAATGATCAGACGCGAATGTCGACGTCCGACGGCACGGACAGGGGACGGGCACATGCACGGGGGGACGGATAGGGGCACACAGTCACAGACACTGATCAGGGGGCCGAGACACTGAAGACAGACAGACAGACAGACAGACAGACAGACAGACACACTGATCAGGAAAGATTCATTTATTAGGAGGCACACTGCTTAGGGGACAATGGTGGGGGACAGACAGAGTGATCAGGAGGCTCAGGAAGGGAAGGACAGACAGTGCTCGGGGGCTGTGAGTTGTGACATACACACTGTAAAAAATATTGACGAGCTATGTGTCAAAACAAGGGTCTCGAAACAGTCAGCAGGTTGTCAATGCTTCCGGTACCTACCACTTGACTAGTTACCGCTTAGTTGGCTTACAGGCTGAGAACTATCCAGATCATTATGATACGGTATTGTAATGATACCCTAGGTGTACCTTTGTTTTGAAGTGCTGAATTAACTATCAAGGTTGTTTGACGTTTGTTTTCGCCTCAATCCGAAACGAGGAAGACCCTCATCAAATTATTAGGTGAAAGCCAGCCTCAGGATGATCAAAATACTAGGGGTAGTTTTGTCATAGTAATCTGTGAAGGGTGAGGAACAAGCCGTAGCAATGCACTCGTCACTAAACCAGCCTGAGATTATTCGCCAGGTAGCTGCTGCGTTTCCCTACTTGCTGAATCATGTTTGCAACTTTCCATTTCCAGACACTTTTTACGGCAAATAAATTGTTGGGTGATTTGGAAGGTGAATGACAATTTTATTTCTATAAGTCAATACATTTGTATTTCCGATTGCCCTAAAACTTTTTTTAATCGTTTGCGGTAGGTTTTTATTGTTCGCAATAAAGTTGCGCACCTGTGAATCCTTCACTTAAAGGAAATAGTTCACATTTTAACATGGGTTTTTAACTGGAATAGCAGTTCCGTAGCTTGGGCTGAGACGAGCATAAATCAGGAGCTTTTACAGCCCAACGATCACCCTAGGCAAAGATATTCTATTTCTCGTCCCGAAAAACGTGCCTTGCGTTGAGGTTGTGTGCCTTGCATATATTTGCATCCAGTATGAAACGAGCATGGGTCCCGAAAATTCTTCAGAAACGCTCCAGTAACAAAAGAAAATTATTCAGAAAATTCTTCAGAGGCGCTCCAGTAACAAAAGCATGAGCAGATCGCCCAAATGCCGGTGGCCGCGATAATTTCTCTAGCTTCTGAATAATTTTCGGGACCCATGCTCTTTTCATACTGGATCGCGTGTGCCTTACAGAAACTGAAAAGTTCTTCCTATATCAAAAATATAGAAAATAATATTTTGTTATAAAAAGGTTTTATTTTCTTTGCTGATCATTTTGAACATAAAAAATCATAAATCCATTGCAAAAAATATAATTTCGTGAAAGTGAACTATTTCCTTTAATGCGTTCCCGGCTTCCCGGCGCCAGTTGCGCTGTGCCGTGCCGCGTTCGGTCGGGGGTGTGCGCGTCTGTGAAGTGCGAGTGTTTATCACTGGGCAAACCTGTATCGTTTCCATTTGTGCAGTGTCTAGTTATGAAGAATTGCTTGCCGATATATGACCTGCAGTGATCGACGTTCTGATTCAATAACTTGCCATAAGCCATTATTCTCAACCAAATCGCGCAGAGACGTTTGCAAAGTTGTCGAGGGGGGGGGGGGACAAGAGCGATTTTAAATGAATTGCTCTCCATGCAGTGCAATAGGACTTAGGTTTAATTTTTCGAATGTTGTGGAGCCGCCCCCGGTGTCCGGCCTGGCCAACTCTCTCAAGAACCGACAGCTAACGGAACACTGAAGTTTCACTACGACGATTTCCGCCAGTTATGAAGAAAAGGCAAGTGCAAGAAGTACAAAACTTCTCTTGGTAATCAAAACTTAGGTTTGGCAAATTTCAAACCTTAAGTCACTACAACTGTGGATATGAATAAGCTGGTTATTGACGGCCAAGCTCTGGCCAATCTGAGGTTCAGACCTATCATCAAGTTCATGAGGCAGCTGCGGTTTGGGCGGCTCACGGGCTCCACTGCATAGGCTCAGACAGGTACTCTACAAAATGTCTTCTGTGTTCTTAGGTTCAGATCTATCGATAGGTATGTGCATGCTTCTGATTCGATTGATAACTGTAAACGGGCGCTGGAAGTGAAAGGTTCGCTTGATATACGAAAGGTGCACTGCAAGAAAGCACATTATTTCAGAAATACATCTTCATTTTATCTTGAGCGTTTTTGGAATGGGCCGGATGAATTCGTAATCAAACTGGTAAGGGATTTCGTTTGAAGACCACCGATATTTAATAATATGATGGTCTTCAAACGAATTCGCTGGCAAATTCGATGACTGGATTGGGCGGCGTAGGATCTGCTGGTCATCTGACTATGGGTTGATTAGGGCCTAGTTGGGCCCCTAGTTTTGACCTAGTTTGAGCTTCATTCGTTAAGTAGGAACAAGACGATGCTTCTTTTGAACATCGTCACTAAACAAGCCGCCCTCGTTTTGACATTGTTTTTCGTTATCATTGTTACTAGATACTTTGTTATCATACACAGCATTAACGAGGACCTGCTTCCAAAACAAGGCAGAAACGCTCCAGCTATTTTTGGGACGTGGTAAAAACTAACTGACACCTGGTAACTGTCATCTGACGAACACAAAACAAGCCAGGGGCTCGCAGCGTGTGCCAAAAGTAGGATGCAAAACTAGTCTGTACCCCCGACATTTAGCGTTGAGAATCATTTGACGAGGGGCTAGTCAATATTTTTTACAGTGCAGAGAGGCACGTACAAGGGACAGACACATGGATCAGGGACAAAGGTGCAGGACAGAGTCACTAATCAGTAGGCAGGCTGAGACAGATCGACTTCGATATTCATCCGCAGGGCTCCTGAGGGATAGGGAATAATCGTAGGCAGTTGGGGCCAGCAAAACGTAAGCTTAGTATCTGGTGAATTATTGTCTGGCAGCATGCTCTTCAGTACTCAAGCACATCGCCATTCACAATGCCGAACTCAGAAGTTCAAGGCGATAGGCGTTATCACAAGTGTATTCGCGGCCATTGGGGCGACGTAAGAAAAGAAGAAAACAACTGGTCCCAAGAACTTTAAATTATCAAATAGCATGCACCTTTTCCTTGATATGTAGAGAATTTACCATTAATTGTTAGAGAAAATTGCATTTCAAATCTTCCATTTATGCTTTTTTCATCGTTTGCACAGTATGTTCTTTAACTAAGCTAGAAACACTAATTAGAAATAGTTCCCGCATCATCAAGAACAATAGGGAAGCCTTGAAGTGAATACAATAATCTAAACGGTTTTGTAATACATGAGAAGACACTTCTAAAATTGTCAGTAGAAGTATTAAAGGCAAAAGTTCAACTTTTTCACAAGACGGATGGCTATTAACCTATTCAACGTGTGATAACTCAGCCGGTATATCGTCGCCTACAGCCCAGCTTTCCCTAGTGACCGATAGAGGCGCTGCTATCGATGTCCGCCCGTGCCGCCTAACGGTGGGCCGAATCCGTGCCACTCTTCGGAATTACTTTTGTGAAAGGTAAATCCCAATACCTAGCAAAACACGAACACATGTACGAGTACCCGAAAATTCCCCAGAACCGAACCACGTGATGAGATCCATAGGTGAGTTATCCATCGTGTATTCGAACAGCAGCATCGAGTATACGGCTGCATGTGTTTTGCAAACATTTGCCTTTGAGTGAAAGACGCAACCAGTTTGCGGGACTTTGAAGGCAAGCACGCCACGCACCAGTGATGTGCTTGTTCAGTGAATCAATTTCGATTAGTCTCGAAAGTTTGAAACTCTTATGCGTAAACACGCACCGGCATAAGACTCAGCCAGTACATTGGCACAAAGCGGGTAACCAAACTGCTAGAACGTTTATAATATTTGCCGAATCACACATTTGGTCTGATATCTTTCTTGGGAGCTGTTATATAACCGACATATATGTAGGTCCATCGCACATTATGTGTGGTCATATAATCGGCCAAAGATAAGCCAGGTGCTGCTGTTGCCAGTCGAGGCGAACCTAGTAACTGAAAGAACTATATTTGCGACGGGTAAGATCTGGTTGCGACCGGTAGGAGTTTTCTTATCAGTGTCAGAAATCGTGCTTGGACTTCTTAGAGAGAGAGAGAGAGAGAGAGAGAGAGAGAGAGAGAGAGAGAGAGAGAGAGAGAGAGAGAGAGAGAGAGAGAGAGAGAGAGAAAGAGAGAGAGAAAGAGAGAGAGGGAGAGAGAGAGAGGGAGAGAGAGAGAGAGAGAGAGAGAGAGAGAGAGAGAGAGAGAGAGAGAGAGAGAGAGAGAGAGAGAGAGAGAGAGAGAGAGAGAGAGAGAGAGAGAGAGAGAGAGAGAGAGAGAGAGAGAGAGAGAGAGCGTTGGTCACTCCCTAATGAACATAAGAGGACATGTGTTTTATCAGCATTTTAGCAAATGCATTCACTCTCTAACCAGCAACACTCAATAAAAAGCTTCACCAGTTTCTAATGCTCAATCCTTTTACCCGTAAATGCAGCTTTCTTTCAGGCAGTTCCGGTCATTCATACGGCTTATACGGTTCGGTTGTGACCTTTTCTCATTCGCCGGATATTACTCTGGCACGCTTTTGAGTTGTAGCTCAGGTCCCATTGCAATTACTTAGAGCATTCAGGGCTTTTGGTATGGGCATTGATTTCCTAGGCGGGGATTACGTCCTAGCCAGTGCAATGTTTTTTTTTTCAATGCCTCACAGGAAATGGGGAATTACCTGTGTACCACTCTGCACGTGATGGCGTAAATACCAAAAGCAATCACCGACTGCGACCGGTGACCGGTGATCATTGTCATGGCATTCTGATAACCATGTCAATGCTCATTTCCGATTTGATTCATCTAGTCAGCTATGTAGTTCCATCACTGAACTGATTACATTATTGATTCAGGAGGTACCATGGAGGGGCCGGGTCTAAGAGGAGGACATTTCGCAATATAATTGTAGGGAAATGCTGCGCAGGGCGCTGCGATTTGGGCACCCTCCAGCTAATGAAGCCCATTTACATACAATATTTGATGGAAAATAAAAAAGGTTAGTAACCCTTTTGGACAACTTTTGCCGAAATCGTTTGTTTATATCCCCCACTCCGTCCCTAAATATAGATTTAGAGTCACCAAAGCTGCATAGTTAGTGGTGATATTTTCATATGGGCCCACCGACCCTGTAAATTAATGTTTTCTAAGTGCCATAGGAGCCAATGGCCAGGCGATGTCCTATGTCGTACTACGCATCCCCCACAAGCCCACCTCAGTACCCTGGCCGTTCGCGTTGTGGGAAAGGACCTGGCCGGCCGAGTTCATTTACATGTTTATCGTTTGATGCATGATTGAATCCCTCTATGCATGAGCCATATACCGTAAATATACATAGATGATCGAAGCCAAGCATAATCTTCCCGGAACTCTTCGACTAGATACGTAAAAACACGTGAGCATGTAGTACGATCTGTAAAGCAGCACCTTCCCGATAATCCGAGCAAATAGTGATTCGTTTTCATTCGCGTCTATACATCTATCAAGCAAATACATTTTTATAGCTCAATGCATGATCTCACCATAGGTCCTAGATGATATATCGTCATGAATTAGATGGGCCGAAGCAAATATAGCATTTATATTTTTCATATAATTATATATGGCATGTGATCCCGGTGAAATAGTGTGACCTTATGTGTGACGTGCTTTATGCTTCAGAAATTGCGAACAACTGTGCTAATGAACCGCGCTGAGCATATTGAACACTGATTGGCATCTGTTGTGGTGCCCATCACACGTTTGTACTGACTGCTGAGTGCTGACAGCTGAGTGGCCAGTACAGTGTTCTCATCTTTCATCCGTCCACAGGAGGTGACCGACACGAGGGTCCCCATCATGCTCTGCGGCAACAAGGTGGACATGCGAGAGGCGCTGATGAAGCAGGGCCAGACTTGCATCACCCGAGAGCAGGGAGAGACCCTGGCCCGAGACTTCGGCGCCCATTTCCAGGAAACCAGCGCCCGCACCGGCCAGGGCATGGTCGAAGCCATCGTGGAGCTGGGCAGGTGGGTGATATGACCTGAGGGCTTCCGATTTCAGATGAACTGAGAGCATCTGATATTGTTCTTTCTTCTCACATATGTTGGATGATTATCCAAACGTGTGTAATGGCGCTTTCCTCATGATTTTACTTAGATATGGCTTACTTTTTTGCCTCCACTGGTTAACTACGGCTTACGGACAGAATTAAACCAACCAAAGCTTTTTGCTGTACTAACGGCGATCGTCTCGTAATCGCCCGCAGGAGAATGCTGACCAATGAAGATGTCGAGGTGCAAACTTCGGCGCTGAAAGTCTCCGATGACGCCAAGAAAGGCGGAGCCTGCTCCGGCAGTAGCAACAGCTCCAGCTCTTGCAAGAAGTAGTCGACGAACTCGAAAACATACGCGACGTACAAGAAATATGACTTTGGATCGGTTTGCCAGTCGAAAGGTGCGACCCTACGAGTGAATAAGTATTTTTGAACTGGAAGTGATATGAACATTTCCGTCTACGAAATAGATTGACATGTTAAGGAAAACGTAGAAAATTGTCGTGGGCGTGTGTAGACTTGAAAGCCTGAATGGCGCTTATATGTGCATTGTATAGGGTTGTGAACTTGTAGGCATGTGCTAAAAATATATACAACCGCACGGCTGTCGGTTTACAATGAATGCGAAGTGTCTGACCGGTGTCAGAAAGCGGATGAGATGTTGTGTGCCTGCTTGTTTTGTCGTTTATGAGCAGGACTAAGCTCTGGCACTTGCAGCCGCTGTTTCACGTCTGAGTGTGTAATATCGTTAACGTTTGGGCGATAATTGCGTGACATTCATTTGTATTGATGCTGCATATACGGCTGATGTTTGATCGAATAAACTCGATGAAGTGAAACCATTATCGCCACTATTAAATTGCTGCTCGATGCTAACAATGTCGAGATTGGGATGGTGGTGCAGGTATATTCAGCACCGCCACCACCAACAACACCGACACCATATTTTCTACTGCACCACCACGATTTCCACCACCTTTTCTGTTCGGATTTCGTCACTAAGCTTAAGGCTGCACATTGCACCACTTATTTCAATGTTGCCTCGAGGGGCCGGGCAGATAGATTAATGTTAAATTTTGGCGACCCCATCAGATCCGACTACGGCCGAACTGTCCTTTTTCTGTATCCACCGTCACAATTAATTCTACGTCTTACGGCTAAATGTAACCACCAGCGTTACAGCAGGTATACATATAGCAAATCAATCGACTTTCCTTCGTCGAGGCAGACATTAGTTATACTAGATGCCGGCAGCGCTCGTGCGTTGCCTTGGGCCAGAATTGGAGGATCCATAGCCCAATGACTTCATTAAAAACCGACTTTTGTGTCGCTAGATCGACGTTTCCCGGGATCAGAGGATCCCTCGTCAAAACCGTTATCCGCCCCCCGCACGCGCAGCTTGCACCCCTCGGATATTATCTCGCCGGAATGTCGTGATCAAATGTATTCTTCTTATGACCTGCAAGTTTTGAACCAGTTAGAGCTGCCGTTTACCCTGCAGGCGTGGCAACGTACGAAGGGGTGCAATCGGCTTGCACGTGCATAGCTCATGCACCACAGAGTTTAGCTCAACCAAATGTGCATTATTTTGGAGGCCTTGCCTGGGACTACCATTGAACCGATTTTGAGGTTGATAGCTTAAAATTTCTTTGAGCCAGAGGACCTGACGTCAAAACGGTTTTCCGACCCCAGCACGTGCAGCCTGCACCCCTCGCAGACGGTGACCCCCCTGGAAACTGGTTCAAGGTGTTACCGATGTGTCCCGCCAGTATGGCTTTGTCCGTGACCTCGGGTTGACCTGTAGCCTTGACAAAAAATTTCGTGTCACCGAAACTTTGAAGCGGAATAGCATGTGCCACGAAGCACCAAGCGAACCGAGGCCAGCACCAAAAGTCTACCTCGCCGGAGACGAATCAAACGGTCCCACTTTCGTCCCGATCGGTCCACCCATTTTGACTCCAGGTCCAAAAAAAGCTTGGACAAACTCACATACTCACTCACTGACAAACAGGTTCAGCCGAACTTCTTTTCAGCGACCCACCAATGGGAATTTCCGGATGCAAAAGCATGCTATCGCATGCTTTTGATCCTCCAATTCTGGATTACTTTTGCTAAAGTTTTGTGACCAAGCCTCATCGTATATTCCAGAATTGGAGGATCAAAAGCATGCGATAGCATGCTTTTGCATCCGGAAATTCCCATTGGTGGGTCGCTGAAAAAAAGTTCGGCTGAACCTGTTTGTCAGTGAGTATGTGAGTTTGTCCAAGCTTTTTTGGACCTGGAGTCAAAATGGGTGGACCGATCGGGACGAAAGTGGGACCGTTTGATTCGTCTCCGGCGAGGTAAACTTTTGGTGCTGGCCTCGGTTCGCTCGGTGCTTCGTGGCACATGCTATTCCGCTTCAAAGTTTCGGTGACACGAATTTTTTTTTGTCAAGGCTACAGGTCAACCCGAGGTCACGGGCAAAGCCATACTGGCGGGACACATCGGTAACACCTTGAACCAGTTTCCAGGTGGGTCACCGTCTGCGAGGGGTGCAGGCTGCACGTGCTGGGGTCGGAAAACCGTTTTGACGTCAGGTCCTCTGGCTCAAAGAAATTTTAAGCTATCAACCTCAAAATCGGTTCAATGGTAGTCCCAGGCAAGGCCTCCAAAATAATGCACATTTGGTTGAGCTAAACTCTGTGGTGCATGAGCTATGCACGTGCAAGCCGATTGCACCCCTTCGTACGTTGCCACGCCTGCAGGGTAAACGGCAGCTCTAACTGGTTCAAAACTTGCAGGTCATAAGAAGAATACATTTGATCACGACATTCCGGCGAGATAATATCCGAGGGGTGCAAGCTGCGCGTGCGGGGGCGGATAACGGTTTTGACGAGAGATCCTCTGATCCCGGGAAACGTCGATCTAGCGACACAAAAGTCGACCTCATTCGACCTCATTATTTCGCAATATATTTAGACGGTAATCATTATCATAAGAAAAAAGCAAAACGCTTTCTTTTTAATGAAGTCATTGGGCTATGTATCCTCCAATTCTGGCCCAAGGCAACGCACGAGCGCTGCCGGCATCTAGTTGATATGTGATGCATCAAAATTAAACTAGATGCCGGCAGCGCTCGTGCGTTGCCTTGGGCCAGAATTGGAGGATCCATAGCCCAATGAAATGTGCATTATTTTGGAGGCCTTGCCTGGGACTACCATTGAACCGATTTTGAGGTTGATAGCTTAAAATTTCTTTGAGCCAGAGGACCTCACGTCAAAACGGTTTTCCGACCCCAGCACGTGCAGCCTGCACCCCTCGCAGACGGTGACCCCCCTGGAAACTGGTTCAAGGTGTTACCGATGTGTCCCGCCAGTATGGCTTTGCCCGTGACCTCGGGTTGACCTGTAGCCTTGACAAAAAATTCGTGTAAAGGCATAAAGGCATAAATAGTGCATAGTTTAACCTTGTTTTGAGCTCTTCTTTGCAGTGTTCCCTCTCAATAAGGCCAACCGTTCGAAAGCTAGCTGCATGATACAAGTTGGAAGATGAGCATCTATTTAGTGTTGAACTGCGGTTAACTGTAGAATGTGATTGCATGGCTAACTGAGAATAGTATTCACTTTAACCCATTTTATACCAATACCTTACAGTTCATAGATGCATAATTGGCATAGAGCCTGGTCATTGGTCCCCATTCAATACGGGTTGATGCATTCCATGGATGCCTTCAGGGACATACATATTGGTGGCCAGCTGTGTATGTGCTAGTGTTGGTGTCAATGGCAACTAATGACATGTGATTGGAGTCAGTGTGGGTCGGTCAATAGCGAGTGGGAAAGTGGCTTACCCATTTCCCATCCACCTGGACCCTGGACGAGAGATACACCATGAGCTGTGTCGCACGGGCATGGCCCCGTGAAAGTAGATGCATGTGTCTCCTATTGAGTCCAGTGGACTTGAGTCGAGCTATCTCAATGCTAAACAGAGTTCCTTGCATACCGTCACTAATTAATTGTGATAAATAAATTTTGTCTAAAAGCATATATCATAAAAGCGGTAAACTTCTCTTCATTTTCTTAAATATTTGCATCCGCCATTGCAAAAATCCAAAATCTCTTTCAACCAGTAGTAACAGCACATTTCCCCACATCAAGTCCATCCTTCAGTATTTTCGCCCTCCTCTTTCAGCTCTCCTTTCTCAGCTCTCCTCGAACAGCGCTATCTCCGTGATGGCCACTATACCGCCGTATGTCCTGTCCACCTCCACTCTGACACACTGCACTCCGCCGGGCACCAGTGTATCCACCGCCTTCACATCCACCACTCCACTCGGGTCGAACTCTGCGAGCAGGCTCCAGTCGGTACACTCTGCCGAGGTGCCGGTGACCCGCACCAGGTCAGTGGCCGCCAGCAGTCGGCCGCGCTTCAGCCGGTACTGCTGCTTCTGACCGGTCACCACGGCAACCCGCCGCAGCCGCCGGCGACGGGTCAGCGCCACGTCTAGGGTCCCCACCGAGCCGCGCTTGGGCTGCCCGATGAACAGACCCGGAGCGACGCTGTAGGCGTACGGAGCCAGGTGGCCGGTCACCACCCGCATGTTGGTCACCACCTCCGCCGGCGGGTTGTCGTGCTCGAACCGCCTGGTCACCTGGTTGGTGTGGTAGTCGACCACCTTTTGGGTCTTGTTGGCCAGCGTCGAGCGGCGTCCGATGTGGTTGAACAGCGAGGGCACCCGGCGTGTGGGAAGGCCCGGTGCGTTCACCATCATCGAGATAAAGTGGGACATGATAAAATCGACTGGCTGCTCCTGAGAAATGGAGAGACACATCGTTGAGTAAAAACGGCATTTCTCATTGCACAATGCACATTCGCACCACGCTACAAAATCTTTTGTTCAGATTCGGTAAAAAAAATATAAGTGGGAAAAATGTAAGAACGCTTGTGCCGGTCTTTTCTCGACAGGCAATAATGACATCACCTCTTGGCTCCGAATGCCTTTCACGGTCATCCCTGGCCCGCTACTGCTCTGACCTCAGTGGACAGTAAAATCTGATCTCCTCACCTCTCTAAACATGGTCATCAGCTGGACAAGTCGTGGAAGACTGGACGACCGAACCAGGTCGCCGATTATCATATACTGAGTGAACTTGAGACCCACCCAGTCATGGTGCCTGTCGTGAGAAATTGGTGAAACCATAGACTTCAACTGAGCGGTACCGGATCGAGCTTGATTGATCACAAAATATAAAGCGTCAATGCTTCCATTAACATGTGTATCATTTTTATCGTCACTGAATTGCATTCAAAACAGGAAACCTTGGATGTTGAGTAAGTGCTTAAAGTGCTTATAGGAGGCAGGTAAAAGATTAAAAATGTGTTTATTTAAATGCAAATATAGGTAGAATTGTTATTTCACTGATACGGTACTTGTGCATTTGAATAAATTCCCGGATGGCGGTGATATATCGGCTTGTAGAAAGGATGTCGTCTTCAAGAATCATGTAGTACTCTGATAGCTTGCAACAATACGAGAATAGAAATGAAAAGTCGATCACCTGGAAACAGCAACAAATTGGTGATATTTTGTTTCAGCGCACGAAGTAGGCCAACAAGTAATAACGCAATTTATTGCTTCGAGAGAGACTACTAGAAGGTCGCAGTAGACAGAAAAGCGAAATGACTGAAGGTACCAATAACATTAATATTTACTGAAAGAAAACTCCTGAGTCCTATAAGAAAACGGTGTTTAAGCACGTGCAGCATTAAAGTGGCTAGGAAGGTTCCGTTCCACCCCACGACCCGCAGCCGAGAGTGCAGCTGCCCCGTGCCTGTTTGGTTCTCCACGCCACCCGCTCCGGCTTGTCGTTGAAGGTGCGCCGTCGACCACTCGTGAAGTTGAGGTCGGGATACAGATCAGGTGGAGGCTGGATGAACTGGATGAACCCATCAGCGACCTCGCCGTGAAACTGGCTGGACAGATGGTTCAGCCGGAAGGACCTGAGCAGCGAATAGTCAATAGGCATGGTATAAAAAGAAACACGATTCTGCATGGCTCTGCGAGGGGCCGTGATGTTTGAACTTCAACTTTTCGCTGAAATGATTGCTGAACTGTAGGCTCACAGTTCATATGATTCTTTATCAACTGAATTAGGTATCCTCGCGGCCTTAGCCCCTAACCTAAGTACTGCTTTATTTTGATCCCATGTTTCTTTTCCGTCATTTACCAGTTCAATTGTTATTTTCCCACCTGAGTGTGTCATTGGTGTCGGCCAGCAGGACCACCACTGTGACGTTGGCTCTCTCAACCGCTGTCGAGCTGTCAATCAGCGAGCGGAGAGTTCGGCTCAGGTAGTGCTCCTTGCGAAACACCTGCCACAGGAATAGTGCAAAGAGACCATATTAGATTAGAAAAAAACACCTCAAAGGCTGTCAATGCAAATGTTTCAGGTGAATTAGTTGGAAAATGTGAACGAATGATAAACGTCATTTCGTAATTATTCATCAAATATGCTTCTTCTACGTAAGACCAACGCCCCCCAGTTACACTTGCTTCCGCAAGCAACAATTGGTTCAAACGATGACCTATATCAGTACACACCCAGTTCTCTGTGTGACTATTGTTTTGATGCTCAACCACCCTTTATGCCCCCTAGCTTCCCCGCCAGCCCTCTAACCGAGGCAATTCCAATGGTGAGGAAGCCGGTGGCAGCGCGGGGCAGGCCCACCAGTAGTGTATTTTCCGGCACACGCAGTAGGGCCGTCCCTTTCGTCACCGCCGTCTTTACTGCGGCTGCTGTCGCCGTCGTTTCAACAATCGGTGTCCGGTCCGGTGGTCGACACGGCTCGGCACCTTCCCTGCTGGATCTGACCTCAGCTACAGAGCGCAGCCTCGTCCACACGGTACTCCAGTTTGGGGTCCGACTGGACACTGCACAGTCAGTTGCACCCGACACGGCGGGTCAGTTAGGGTTGCCGATTGTGGTAGTGCTAAGGAAGAAGTTGATTTCCTGTCAGACGCAACTGTTAGGTCATAAACTGCCAAAAAAAAAATTATTTTGCTCGACGTAAGTGTAAATTTGTCCACTAAAGATGTAGGATAATAGGCATATGATTATTGATTACTAAAAAATCAACTTTTGTGTAGTACTCGTATTACGCTAATTAGAACAGAAATGAGTACGGATAAATTTTCTGTCAAAAATGAATTAATTCCGCACGATTAAGCAAAGGTACACTGAGAACATGTTCTGGCAATGCTATTTGATGGAAGGAATAGGGTGGTGCAAGCATTATCTTAACCAGACTAAGTGAATTCGGCAATCCAGGTTTTGCACCATGAAATAAAAATGAAATTAATCAAAGTAATATAACTGTAAAACAGATAGTGTTTTGCAACGCCTTGCTCTGCACACAGACACACTAAGATTACAGGTCCCTGGCATCTGTTTGTTTCTGTCCATCCGTCTGTGTTATTAGTACGTACGTTACACATGCACACGTGCAGAAAAGGTCAGCTGTCCTGGACATTCATTACCTGTGACATCGCGGTCAACAGTGAGCCAGACAACGTTGAGGGTCAGCAGAAGAAGAGAAACCAGAGCGACGCCGGCCAGAAGACGAGGTGACCTCAGCATGACCCCTGGCGCCGCGGTCGGGTCGCTGTCTGGACAGCCCGAGACGACACTGGTAGTTTTTTTATACGAATATATGGAATATACTTAATGTTAAATATTGATATAATGTTAATATACCTAACCTGAAGATCCTAAATATGAACACCTTGAATTTCATCCGTAAAATCTCCAGGAAAGTGAAATATTACAAAAAGCGTCCTATGAGGTATTTCCCAACTTACCAGTCTTCAAGATGAATAGGTAAATTATATTTTATTCTGGCTCGCCATTGAAAATGGCCATGCAAATGTTCAAAAGGTCAATAATTCCACGAACATTACAATTATAGAATCTCAAACCAAAGTGCTGCTGTGACCAAAGCCCTAGATGGGCGACAACTGCCGAGCCTTTTGCGAGCGCACAAACGAGGCACCCACCATTGCCACGAGCGCCGGCCAACTGAGTCTGGTGTTGACCATTCTGTCCCACCCCTCCCCTCCCCGATCCCACCTTCCCAGACCCCACAGGCGTTCCCACCAACCGCAGGTCGCTGGTATTGAACCAGCACCGTCGAACAACCTGCGCGAAAACCAAATTATACCTGTCCAACCGAGGTATCATATTCACACGAAAAGGGGTGCGTTGGCCGACTTTAGAAGGGCTAATTACAAACGGAAGCTAAGCTTTCTATGATATCTGAGGATTCGACGTAACTGGACCTAAAAATGTCGAAACATGTTCGATATTTTGACGAGTTATCCAACCACTTGTCGCTAGTCGCGACGTGGCCAAGGCGCCAAGGAGCCAAGGAGCCGAGTCTGACCCTAGATACAATGTCATATTGCTACCGCTGCAGCCCTCCCAATCAATGCCACATCTCCTCAAGAACCTGACAGGCGCCTCCCACGCCCGAGAGGTTCAGTTTGTCACCAGCATCAGATACAAATCCGCATCCGTTTCCGTCTGTCGACAAGTGGCGATGCTCTGTCGACATGTTGATGGCAGTGTCATCTCCTATTGACATCCCCTTTATGGCACTTTATTATAAATCGCCCGATCGAGCTGTCCGTACACCACGGCGTGTCAGACTGCAAATCTGCGCTGCCATCCGAGCTGAAATACTGGACACCGTTCCGCCGGAGCTAGTTAGGTGTCGTCCGGACAGCGCCTCTCGGCCAATGGAGTCGGGACTGGCACCGTCTGACACCCCACACCAGCCAATCGGAGACAGTCCCGCCTGTCAGCGGCAGACGACACAGATCAATGGCGCCCGTTACAACCCGCAACACCACCATTTAACTCGGACGGTGTGAACCCGATATTAATTCAAGATAGCGCTGGCATGTGATGTGGAGGCGCTCGCTCGCCGAGACGTTGCAGCTCCTGCAAGCGCTGGCTCGCAGTCATGAATGGAGCCCGGACATGGGTTATATGTTTCTCACACCGATCTCTGTGTTGTAAAGCAGTGTTTGACAGGTAGTTTGAGTGCCGATAGGCTGACTCGGTCAATAGCAAACAGCTCACATCGCGGTGCGAGCGACTTTAGCGAGTGTCATTTGAGCGAACGTCATTTGAGCGAACCATTTTCAGCGACTGGCGACTTAGCGAATATCAAATTGAGCGATTATCAAATATAGCGATTATCAATTTAAGCGAAAGCTATGTTTCAGCGACATCTTTTTCGTCGACTACAGTTTGAGCGACTGTCATTTCAGCGAAACACTTCATCGTCCCGTAACGGTGTATTTTTCTTTTTCTTTTTTTCTTTTGCGAGCGTACGTACAACGAATGTTTCCGTAACTTTTCATGGTTATCCGGAACTGGATGGCGGATGTCACGTTCAAAGTTCAGACATTAAGCTCCAAATTTAATGCCGCATTTCTCAAAAATTCCAGCGGTTCGATTTCACCCCCCCCCCCCCCTGCTGTTTGCCAATACTGATGACCAAGCGTTTGTTCAGAGATTCATATTGCTTGTGCTGTTTTTCGCGAAATTCCCCCGCTTGAATTTGGATCAGTCCACCATGTTGTAAAGTTTGTTCTTGCCCCAAGCAACGTACGAATTTCCAGATATTTGGGTGAGGTCCCTGAAACATAGACTGGATCCCCCTGTGCCATCCCTCAAGTTTATTATCGGTCCTTGGTATTCCTTCCATCGTCCTATATCTCATGTTCCACATTTCCAGATCAAGGTTGCAGAATGAGGCCAGATATTTTTGTGGTTTCCAAGCTTAAAAGCAAATTCTTAATTTGCCGCGCGCAGCTTGAAGCATGACACATACCAAGCGGGTATTCCAAGGGCAAGAATTCCCGAAAAGTAGCAAATGATTGACTTCCGTCGCGTTCGGTTTCGCTGTAACTGTGTTCGCTCAATTGGTCCCCCATTGACCTCCATATATTCGCTCAATCTGGTTTCGCTGATTCTGGTCCTCGCTTAAGTTGATAATCGCTGTGATTGAATTCGCCGACCTGACAATCGCTGAAAAAGTCAATCGCTTAAATTGATAATCGCTGAAAAGGCTTCGCTCAAATGTCGTTCGCTGAAATGACGCTCGCTCAGGTGTCGCAGAACCCTCACATCGAGCTAGCTGCAAGTCTGCGCCCGGCTAGAAACGCTGTAAACCACCCCTCTCGCCCCCAAAAAACAGCAACAGCGAGCAACGCCACCACGATACAATGCCTGATCCTCGTCATCAATTTATTGGCAAACTTTCAGTCAGTTAAAAATATGAGATTCATGACCGCCTGAAAGAAGTTCTCATCTCCCGTATCGCCCGGCCCCAGTCGGCTGCAGTTGCGTGAGCCAGCCCTTATCGACTCTAATCGCACATTCTAACATTCACGAAGAATGTAGCCTTGGTCGCCTAAGACGCCCAAGCCCCGGGTCATGCAATACGACCGCGCATCTTAGAGTGATGGCACAGAAACTGAGCGATCCTGTGATGTCACAGATATACAGAACGATCTCATGACGTCACACAAACACACAGTGACACGGCTAAGGCACTGAGCCCATCGGCTCGTTCTAGAAAGACGCCGAGATATGTGTGACCCGTTGACGCAGGCTGTTTCTGTGTCGAGTCGCACCCAGCCGATCCAGGAAGAGTTCGGAGCTCGCTAAATGTCTGACATATATGGACCTGTCTGAGCAGTTGTAGAGCGGGCCATTTTTACTGAGTAGCCTGATCTAGCAATGCTTGGACGAGTGGATTACGTGCGCTGTGTGCTGGAGACGCCCAGCCCATTTCCCTGTAAGGCCGACAAGCGATTTAAGCCGCTGACTGCAATCTAACGGTGGTGACAGAAACGCTTAGAATGCAGATCCCATGAATTTAGGAAACATACATAATTGGTTGTGTCATTTAAGCACGGCTAAAGATTTTTACAGTTCATGTTGTATGCTGGTGCATACCTCATCGCAGTAGTGCTCACAGCAAATAAAACATTAGATGTAGGTAGGATGACAGAGCAAAACCGAACACCAGATAGAGTGCGTAGATGGCATTCCACGATAGATCGTACCAGGCCCGTCACCCTCATCTCTCAGATTTTAATGAAAATCGGTCCTAGGGGTAATCATAGGCCCCAAAGACGCCTGGCAAAATATCAGACTCCTCAGATCAAAACTTTTTGAGTTATATTGCATTACATTTTTTTTTTAACTTCGGTAAGTAACGGTGAGTTTGATGGCCTATAACTCAAGAACGGGTTAAGCAACCAACAAAAAGTAAACAACACTAAGCTTGCGATGAATCAAAAATTAATATTACTATTTAAAAATTCCAAAGAAAAAATTTCATTGTTGAGCAAAAACCTTAATCTTTTTTCATTTGCCTCTAATGACTTTTGGGACCAAAATTTTTCACATTTTTATTTTTTCAAAATAATCTTCATGTCATTGCAAATCGACATGCAAAAAATTAGAAAGGTGTTCTTTCTATAAGTTCCTCATTTTCCCGCAAACAAAATGGGTTTCGGAGGGGTTGATACGACCCCAGCACGCCGTTTCGCTTCTTATAGAGCTAGAGCCTCGCGGAAAAAACGGGCGTGTGTGCCGTTACAAGTCGCAGCGATTGGTACCCGATTTTAAGGTCTCAGGTTAACCGGTAGCGTCTGAGGTCAGGTCACGTGACTTAAGTTACG